TCAGCGATGGTAACTGCTGTTCTTCTTCTTCCACGAAGGTGTCTGTTTGCACTGCCGAGTAGAGACTGGACACCTCCTGGGTGCCTGCAGGGATGGGTGTACATGAGTCCCCCAGGCTGGCTCACGTGCAGGTTCATGCACATATAGGTCTGCCCATGCACATAAGTGTGCCTTGTGCACACCTAAAGTGTGTACATTGCACGAGGCACACTGCACTCGTGTGAGGCATCAGACACATACACAAGTGTGTGCAAACAGGATGGCTCTGAGAACACCCTGGGGAGGGGGAAAGTGCTGTTTCAATTTCAGTTCTCTATCCCCCGCCCCCCCTCCAACTCAGCTCAGGGCTGCTGGGAATTTAGGCTTCTTCCTGGCAGCTGACCAGACCAGGGGCCTGGAGGGGTCTTAGGACATTTTTGTCCTAAGCGGGACAAAAATGGTCGGAGTGGAGCAGATTGAGTAACTTCCAAGGAAGAGGAAAGTGGGTAAGTAGCGTCCGGACACCTGGGTTTGTGGCCCTGCCATGCGGCTGAGGGACATCTGGATGACCCTGGGTCCATCCTCTGGCCTGCTTTCAGTCCTCGGTCTCTCCTGTCCATGCACCCCCATGGGCCATTGCCCATTTATCACTCAGAGCATCATCCTCATCACTGGCTTGGACTCCCATCGTGGCTTCCTGGCCTTCTCCATTTCTAATGCTTAGGAAGAACTACGTCGCTCCCCTGCTGAGACTCCTTCCTTGGCTCCCACTGCCTTCAGGAGAAAGCCTAAGCTCCCTGGCCGGGCCTGGCGGGATCTGCTCCCCTTTCCTCCTCTCTCCTTTCTCCCTCTTCTTCACTCTGCTGGCCTTCTCCCTCTGCTCAGACTGGCACCCCCTCCTGGAAGCTGTGAAGGGTAAATGAGGGAGGGGAGCTTCCTCTTCTCTTTGTATTTAATTTGGAGTCCAACAAATTTGCACTCGAATCTCATCTCTGCCATTTTCTAGCTCTTTGTGACCCTGGGCAGGTTTCGGACTCTGAATTTTAGAGGCCTCCTTTGCTAGATGGAGATAACAGTTAATATTTCTTTTTGCTAGGGCTGGATTTATTTCAGTTTTCAATTGTATTTGTTTTTGAAAAAATATGTTCACTTGGCTGAAATATTTAAAAACACAAAATATACAAAAGATTACATATACAGCAAAAATTTCCTTCCAAGCCACCCAGTTCCTTTGTATATTCCTTGCCCACAAATTTACTCAAATAGTATCTCTTTTTACATATCTTCTAGACACTTCCATAAATATCATCTACTGAGGACCTGCTAACGTGCTCTCCATGGATTGTTTCACTCAGTCCTCATAGCCGCCCATGAGGTCGACAAGGAAACTGAGGCTCAGAGACAAGAAGCCACTTGCCTGAAGCCACACCTTTGGTAAGCAGTAGACCCAAGGTAACGTGAGCGTGTCCATTTATGAAGTGCCTGCTATGTGCCAGGCCCCAGGACTGGCCCAGACCTGGGACACTCTGCTGGTCATTCAACAAATACTGAGTGCCTTCATCTTTCGGGCACTGGGGCAGGAGCTGTGGCTACAACGGTGTGTGTGTGCGGGGGAACAAAGTGTTCCGCCCTCCCAGAGTTTATATCCCAGTGGAGACAGCCCATCGCTGTCGCCCCATTTTCCGGGTAAGAAAACCACGGAACAGAAAGAAAAGAAACTGCTCTGTGGTGACACGGTGATACGAATAGAGCTGTGATAAGCACCCTCGCTTTATTGGTGGGAAAACTGGGGCACAGAAAAGAGAAGTGACTTGTCCAAGAAAACCTAGCCAGTAGGTGCAACGCCGGGATTCGACGGCCCACGCGGGCTGGCCCGACCACGCGCGGCGGCCTGGCCCCTCCCCGAGGAGGGCGTGTCCAGCCGGACCCGCCCCGCCCCGCCCCGCCCCGCCCCGCGCGGACGCGTTCCTGGCGGCCCCGGCGGCCGTTTCCTGCCTGCGTCGCTGGGCGGGCGGCCGGCCCATCTGGCGGCCCCCACGGGGCGGCGCGGGGAGGCGGCCCAGACTCGCTGGAGCCAGGCGCCGGCTCGGGCCCCCCCGCCCGCCTGGAGAGCCCAGGTGTGGCCGCGGCGGGGGTGGGGGTGGTGCCTTCCTTCCCGCTCGGCCCTTCCTGACGCACCCGGGCAGGATGCAGCCTCCTCCCGCCCCCTCCGCAGCCTCCGCCTCCCGCGACCCGGCCCGGAATCGGGGCGGGAATCCTAGCGGAGGGAGAGCGGGTGGGCAGGGAGCAGCAGGCCACGCCTCTGGCATCCACTCCTTATGACGCCCCTGGGCAAGTCTTGCCCTTTTTTTGGGGGACTGTTTTCCCATTTGCGCAAAGATAGCAGAACTCTGACCCCCTGGGTCTCACAGGTTCTTGCCTTGTCCCTCAGGGAACCCAGACAGGATTGTGGGGGCCCGGGGCACCTCTCCTGCCTTAGGTCTTAACATTATCATTGACTTGACATCCATTTATTCGGCCATTTCAAGTCTGTCTCCCCGATCACAACTTCAGCTCCAGAGCGGGCGCTTGGCCTGTGTTCCTTGGTGTGCCAAACGGCTTGACCGGCGCCCACCTCATACTGGGTGCTGAGGTCTGAGAGGGCATCTCAAGGCTTTACCCCCAAAAGTTGGAGTCCCCCTTGGGAGGGTCTTACCCATTTCACAGCTAAGGAAACAAGATAAGAGTGGGCAGCCCGCCCTCTCCATCAGACGCTCACCTTCTCCAGCACCACGCCAAGCAGGGAACCCCAGAATCCAGTGTCTTGATTCATGTCAAACAGCACATCTGGTGAACATCATAGTCTTGGAAGCCAGGCACCCTAGTTCAAAACCCCCTGAGGCACTTAATGTCTCTCTGCTTTAGTTTCCTTTATCTGTAAAAATGATGGTACCTACCTTGTAGGGTTGTTATAATGATTACATAAATATTTCTAAAATACATAGCATGATGCTAGAGATGTTACATACAAATGAAAGTGTATACTGGGGGCTCTCAGCAGGGCTGGGCTTCCCCCCTTGGAGCGCCCCACCTACTGTACTCAAAGGAGACTGAAGCCACAGAGATGGACAAACCAGGGGCAGAACTTGAGAGTTTTGGAGCAGTTTCCAGAGCATCCACCCCCACCCTGGGGTGAGGCTGGCACTAGGCCCACCCAGGGCCCTGGCCAGCCACCCACCCTGCCTCTCCAGCGTGCAGGCCCAATCCGTGCCCGGCCTGCTGCCATTTTTCCATGGGACTCTGGCGGTGGCAGTTCACATCTGGAGTCTAGACTCGGAGGCTCTGCGGGCCGGGCCTACCGCCCGGGCTGGGCCACCGCTGCCCGCTGTTTGCTCAGCTGAAGCTGGTTAATTGGAATTAGAGTGGCCTCTGCGGTGCTGGCTGGCCGGGCGGGCCCTGGATGGCCGCTGCCGAGGTCTGTGGAACATCTGGCCAGGCCAGGATGGTCATTAGGTGGCAGGCGCCCGGCGCCACTGCCACCTCAGCCTCAGCCGGGGGCCGGCGGTGACTCAATGAGGCCTTTGTGGGCTCTGGGCTGCAGAGCCAACCGCGCTGTGTGCCTGGGCTGCCTGCCCCATCTGCCGCCCTCAGAGAGGCCTTGTTCCAGGACCACACGGCCTCCCCTCTGGAGGCGGTAGAGATCCGAGAAGCCCCTGAAAGGGACCCCCCTGGCTGGGAGAAGCCTTTGAGATTTTCTATGCTTCTTTTCCTTTCCATAGACTTGTATGCCCAGAGAAGTTGGGTGGCCGGCTCAAAGGTGCCCAGCACACCAGCCACTGTGACTCAGGCCCAGGGCTCTGGAGAGGAGTTGCACAGTCCTTAGGACCTCTGGAATTCTAGTTGGATTGCTTGAGATGGAATCCATGTCTATGGGCAAGCTGCCTCAACTCTCTCATTTGCACAATGGGGTGAATACTGGCACCTATAGCCCAAGACGGAGAATTCAGTGAAATCCTGTGCTGAGGTGCTCGGTACATGTAACAATCAATCCCTAGTGAGAGTATTACAGCAATACTTCCAAATGTCTGCTCATACTTGTCCTTCAGCCACCTCCAAATTGTCTGGAAGCCACTGTTATTTTCAGCCTTTGAACCTGAAGCTTGGGCAAGGGAGAGGCGTGGGCTGGGAGTTGGAGGCCTGAGTCTTAGGACAGTAGCCACCCTCTCCCACCTCACTTTCTCCACCGAGTGACTCTGCACCAGGCAGGTGGATGAGGGCTGTGCCTACTCCTCGCCTGGTTGACTGGGGGTTCTCCTGCAGGCCAGGGCTGCTGTCTTCAGCAAACCTTGGAGAAACCCTGGTTCTGGGATCTCCAGCTCTCGGACCTGGATGGCCCCCCAGAAGCACTGGGCCCAATCCTTTCCCACTCTAGACTCTCCAGGAGCTCTGGCCCTTGTGCTGTGACTGGCCTCGCTGTGGGGAAGGGGAGTGGCTCCTAGAAGCAGGCCTTGCAGTAGTCATTTTGGAAGAACCTTGGAAATGGGCAGAATGGGAGCCATGGGGCCTTGACCCAGCTGAAGCCATATGGACATTGGGACCAGGGAAGCTGGCTCCTGCCAGTCTGGGAATAAAATCTAAACTCGTCCCTGGGGCCCATGAGGCCCTGCCCATTTCTGTTCCTTTCAGATACTGGTCCTCTTGCTGAGTCAGGTCAGCCTTTTGCCCACCCCACCTTTCAACCACTAGCACCTGTGCAATTCTCTCGCTGCCCCCAAGTGTTGGGAGGAAGGTAGTGAGGGAAACTGAACGGCTGCGGGGAGAGGAGCGCTCATGGGCCCCCTCTGCTGGCTAGAAGGCGTCCTTGGGGGTGCTGAGCTGGCAGACTGGCCACTGGGTGGGCATCCAGGAGGATGGAGGGGCTGGGAGGTCAGGGCCTCCCCTCCAGGTTGCAATAGTCCCCGAGGAAGTCCTCAGGAAGGGGCTTATAGTAAAGTTTCTGGGTGGGAGGGTGAGAGCTAGTAAACCCAACACAAGATGCTGGGTGCAGAACCTTTCCAGGAGTGCAGGGGCCTGCCCGAGCAATGGGATGAGTTTTTAATGTGAGGCAAAGTCAGTCCACAATACAAAAGTCTAAAAATCAGACCCCCTTTTCCCACCTGGCACCTGGGAGGGTGGGGGAAGTTGGGGGCTTCCTTTGCCTGCAGGGGATGGGGAGGGCAGAAGGACGCCAGAGAACAGGGAGAGGAAACCAGGCCACAGAGGCCCCTCTGGAGGGATCCTGCTGCCCGCACCCCTCTGCTGGAGCTGCCGGGCCTCCTGGGCCTCTGCCCGTGCAGGCCTGTGCTGGTCCATCCCTGCCTGTCTGGTCTGGCCCGCAGAGGGTCAGGCACCGGCCGCATCATTTCTCCTTCTTCTCCAGCCCCTTCGATGCTGAGGCCTCTGTTCCCTCTTTGGATTCTGTCACTGCCGCTGGGTCCTTAGGGTTTGACTCCTCATAACTGACCAAAAACAAAACAATAAAAACACCACATTTAGAGGAGCGGGGAGAGTAGAACCTTGTGCCCCACCTCCCCACCATCCCAGGAAACCCCCAGGCTCACGAGGAACATCAGCCCCACATCCATGGCCCAGCATCTTCCAGTACCTGGCCCTGGCCCACTGTGTGCCCGCCTCTGACAGGCTGCTCTGCTCTGCACCTGGTGGTGGCAAGGGCAGCGGCAAATGGAAGAGGTTGGGCTTGGGCTTGTGTGGACCAACTTTAAGTTTCTTGAACCTTCGGCTGGAGAGAATGGGATAAAAAACGGGGTGGCCTGGACGAGGCTATGGGAGATGGGCTGCCTCCCAGGGCACATGGCAGGAGTCAAACAGCTCAGCCCCAGGGGTGTGGGTGGGCGGGGGGTTGCTCTACTGGCAAGTGGCAAGGTGCCACCTTGAAGGCGGACATCCTGGCTCAGCTCTTACTATCGGCTCCACTCACTGAGCAGCTGAGTTCACGCCAAGGACAATACCCACATTTCCTCACCAGGTCAACCTGCAAGGCAGGAATGTGCCCACTTACAGATGAACAAAGAGAGGCTCCGAAAGAGGAAAGTGACTTGCCCAAGGTTATATATATACAGCGAGCAGTAACAGTACTACTAACATACTACAGTATGGCAAGGGCTGTTGATCTGCACTCTCTCACGTGAGCCCCGCACTACTGGTGAGGACAGGGAGGTTCTGGGTTGCTCTGCTCCACGGCTCCACGGCCCCACGGCCGGGTGCACTGACTGCCTGGTGGTTGTGGAGGAGCTGCCTCCTGCTGCCTGCCCCTGGCAATACTCCCTGCCCCGTACGCTGGAGCTGGGGGGTCTGCCCTACCTTGGGCCCCGGGGCAGTGGGGGGAAGCGGGCAGGTGGGCACCCGCTGGGTATTACATGGCGCTGGGATTCTGCGGGCGCCGGCGGCGAGGGCCGGCTAGCTTCTGCTGCATGGAGTCGGCCAGGCTGGCTGGGGAGCCCGAGACTGTGGGGAAGTGGGTGAGCCTCGGGGTATGAGGCAGGATTTCCGCCGAGGACTCGTAGCTGTGTGAGAGACAGACAGACAGACAGAAAAAAGAGATGGAGAGGAAAAGACTGAGGGAGGACAGAGATTTTCCTTCCAAGGAGCAGGGAGCAGAACTGTGACTATTTTTATCTATGTCTGCACTTTCCGACTCTGTGGAAAGAAGCCGGTATTACTTGGAGAATAAAAAAGAAAAGATGTACCTATACAGGGGATGCTACACAGCTGCACAAAAGAACAAGGACGCACTAGATGTATACGTGCTGCTGCAGAAACATCTCTAAGACACTGTTGTGTGAAAAATCAAGACGCATGATGCTCCGAGAATGCCCCCATCTGTGCAAGATTACGTCCACACATTTGCTTTAGGTGCAAAGATGTCTCAGAATGTCTGTGTGACGGAGCTGGCCTGTGGGGCGGCTGGGGTGTGAAGGGGTTGTCCCTCTCACAGCCATGAACTCGGAACCATGTGAATGTGTTACCTATTTAAAAATAAATGAATAAAAAAGGGAGCGCCAATAAAGGGAAAAGTAAAACAAAGGATAAGGTGGAGGATTAGGGAGAGAGATGGACAGAAAGAGAAGAGAGACCACCTGCTTTTTCACCTCCCCCTAAGACCCTCCTGAGGGGCGGGGGCAGAAAGGAGGGCACAGTGCCCACATGGCAGAACATTTAGGGAAACCAAGTAGCAAGTGGGTGAAGCACACCCTCTGCCCTGGCTGGGGGTGTTCAGAGCTTGACCCCATGAAGGGTCTGGGGAGGTTACCCCAAGGGGTGGGGGCCTGGGGCTGAGAGTGGATGAGAGTCAGAGGAGGGTGCGGGGCAGATGCTGAGCTCAGGGATCAGGTCCCACTCCTGTCCCCAGAGCTCCCCAAGATCTGCCCTCAAGTTCACCCCCTCAGCCTCGCCTCAGAGTCCACAGGGCTTTGCCAGGCCAGGAGATACGGGCAGGCAGGTTGGGAGCCTGGGGCTTCTGGGCAGGGCAGGGAGGGCAGAGGCAGATACAGGGGAGGGCTGAGTCACAGGTTCCCCTGCAGGCAGCCAGGTGCACAGAAAACCCTGGCAGGCGCTCCAGGGACAACCTGGAGGCCAGGCAGGTGGAGCTGGGTGGAAGGCGCCTGAGTGGGCAGCTTCAATTGCAGCTGGCAGTTATTTCTGGGTGCTGGCAGGTGGGGCCAGTGGTGCTGGGGAGCAGACACCTGTTAGAGTCACGCAGGCTTTGGGGTATGGATGGGGCTGTGCACAGTGTATGGCAGGTGTGCTACGGCTATGGGGAAGGAATATGTGTGTGATTGAGTCAGAGAAACCAGCCAGCTATGGTTACACTGGGGTCCCCCCATTACTTATATGTGAAAACTGAGGCCAGGAGAGGGGAAGGACATGCCTCAAGTCACATGGTGGCAGAGTCAGGCTGGGAACCCAGGGCTCCTGACAGCAGGGCAGCCCAGGGCAATATCTACACCAGCCAGCCCCTTCTCAAGACCCAGCTGGCCTCTGGGTGTGGGGCTGCCTAGAGAGCCCCCAGGCCTTGCCCTCCCCTGGCTTCCAGCCCAAAGAAAGGTTCCTGCTGGTGCTCACAGGCCAGGCACCTACGTGTTGGCAGAAAGGGTGAGGGGTGGGGCTGGTGGTGGGAACAGTGTTCCCCTGGAGACGTGTACAAACAGCCCAGGCAGGCTCCACTAGCTGCCTGCAGGTGCACCTGTGCCATGCAAGCGTCTGCCCCCTGCCCCCTCTTACCTGAACATCTCTGTCACTTCTCCTTTGGCCAGTGCCACCAGGATGGGAAAGCCGATGCAGGCAGGGACCAGGTACAGGAGGGCAGGCTGTGAAAGGACACAGGCTGGTGAGGCAATGTTGGGCAGGGCACTTGCTCAGGGCGACACCCATCACTCCAACCCTCTCCTGGGCGCGACCGAGGGACAGGGACTGCCCAGGTTCACAGAGCAAGTCAGTGAACCGGGCCTGAACCTGCGGCTCCCGACTCCCAGAGCAGGGTTGCTCCTCTGTGGGAGGGAACGCAAGAAACTCAAGTATGCAAGGCTTAAAGGGTGCCCAGGAGCCTGGCTGGCAGCGTATGAATCACCTGAGACATCAGGTTCAAACATGCAACCTCCTGGGTTGGTCCTATTCCCAGAGACCCTGCTTCCCTAGGTCTGGGGCCAGAAGTTTGCATTTTTAACAAATTTCAGGAGATGCTATTATGATGATGATGATGACAATGACGATGACACAGCTGCTATATATAGAGCACTTGCTGTGGCCTGTATTGAGGTCACCCAGCTGGTCACTGGCTCTGCCGGGATTCATGCCCAGGTGGTCTGGGCCCAGAGCCCGTGATGAGACTCCCGGTGAAGCTGGGTTTGGAGGACAGGACAATTCTACTAACAGGCCCTGTTCATGGAGCACCTACTGTGTGCACTGAACTCGGGCCTCCCAGGGAGCGTTTCAGGCCATCCCCACATCCCGTGACTGTCCTCCTTGTGTACTGGAGGAGGGCTGATGCTTTGGGAGGAGAGGGGACAGCTCAGGCCTCTGAGGTCTAGTCAACCACGGACCAAACCTCATGCATACTGGACTCTAAAGCCATTCTTTTCCTTGCAGCAACTGGAAGCTGGACATCACTCTACGTTCAACCCTCCATGGCCCCTATGCTCCCAGCGGCCTGAAGTCCCCATGAGATGTGACCCCTGCTTCCTTCTCCAACCTCACCTGACCTGCCCTACTCTGGCCACACTGGCCTCATTTTGGTCATCCTTGTCACCTCCAGCCACAGGACCTCTGCACATGCGGTTTCTGGGATGCTCTTCCCACTTGTGCCTAGTCTCCTCCTCCTTCAGACCTCAGCTCAGCTGTTACTTCCATGCGGGAGCCTTTACTTGCATGGAGTCAGGTCCTCTCGTGGCACACACTGGGGGGCCCCTGCAATCCTTCACAGCATTCTCTGGCAATTGGGAACAAAACATCCCTGTGCCATTACAGATGAGTCTCTCCTACTAGGCTGTGAGCTCTGTGAGGGCAGGCTCCACGGCTGTCCTGTTCACTGCTGTATTCCTGCCACTCAGAAGAGGGCCTGGTAAATACTACGCAATGGCTCCTTCACAGTGCTCACAAAGCCAAGAGGGTGTCCTGGAGATGACTGGGGTGAGGGTGAGGAGACGACATTCCCAAGGCACGGCCAGCCCCTGGCCAGACAACAGGGCTCCACAGCCCCTGAGCCTGACCTTCAGACCATTTCTTGGCACCTGCCGTGGGTGGGCTGTAAACCACATCACTTCATATATATTATTCTTGAATCTAATGACACCATAAGTACTAGGATCTGAGTTTTAAAGATGATGCTATGGAGGTTCAGACAGGGGCAAATGACTTGCTCAGGGTCACACAGGGTGTGTAAGTAGCTGAGCTGGGATTTGAACTGGGGCAGCTGAGCTTCTCCCACTGCATCAGGCCTATGCTATGAGCTAAGCTTCGGGCCAAGAGTGATAGAAATCACAGTGACAAAGGTTTGCACCAAAATTTGTGACAGGCAGCCAAAGCAGTACTCAGAGGAAAATTTATAACCCTAGGTGCATTTATTAGAAAGACTTGAAATAAATAATCTGAGCTTCCAAATCAAGAAGCTAGAAAAAGAATAAACACCCAAAGCTAAAAAGAAAATAATGAAGGCAAAAGCAAAAATTAATGAAATATAAAAGGAAACAAATACAAACATTAAAATTTAACTTCTGAAAAATTGACCTCCTCATACCCATTTTATAGATGAAGAGATGAGGATCAGAGGAGGGAAAAGGATCTGCCCTAAATCACACCATTGCTCAGAATGTGGACCCAGGTTCCTGTCTCTAAGTCCAGTGTATTTTCTTCACCAATGCCAGGCTGGGCAAAACAGAGGGCTTCCAGGGGGGGAAGTCTGGCCCCCGCGAGGCCTGCCTCCTTGGAGGGCCAGCAGCCACTGAGGGGCTCCTTTGGGAGGCAGTAAGTTTGCTATTATCAGAGGGATACAAGCCTATTATTTTCTTTCCTCTCAAGGCACCAGGGAACCTCTCCAAAGAAAGTCAGTGCTAAGGAGAGGCTGGGATGTACCACTCAGGGCGGTGACTGGGAGTCAGGACACCTGACTCTCCATCCTGCCTTGGCTTTGTTGTGTGACCACAGATAAATTACTTTCCTCTCTGGGCTTCCTTCTCCCTTGCATAGTGAGGACACCTGATCATCATTCAGGGCCTTTCTAGGAGGCTGCTAGCCTCCTGGCTTGGAATGGGTTTTTGATGGAGGGCGAATGGCTTGAGGACCACAAAGGCAGAGGTGACCCCTATCTAGGGAACTGCTGGCACTGGGACTGCGTGTGTCTTGGAGAGGGAGAGGGACCTCATGGAACAGGTTCCCCTTGTGTCCCGGATCCCTTCCCAAGAAAGATTTTCAGGGAGATGCCCATGTGGTTGACAGGGGAGAACAGCTGGGCTACTGCTGGGGAGCAGCACAGGCCTGGGGCTAGCTTGACTTGCTGTGTGACTCAGGGGAGTCTCCTTTTCTCTCTGGGTTACAGTTTCCCCACAGAGAGGCCCAGCTCTGTTCGAGCCTGTGAGAGCTCCCAGTGGGATCCTCCACAAGTCCAGCCCAGGCAGAAGGCAAGCCTGCCACCTGGTGGCGGCCAAGGGAATGGCTCTGGGCTTGGAATCTAATGGGGCTTAGAGCTGGAGACCTCCAAGAGGCCTCTGAGCTGCTCCCCCCAATCCAGGTCCAACTACTGTCTCTGACCTCCTTGCCAAGTGCATGTCACTCTCAGCTTGCACAGCTCCCCAGGCCATCTGGAGCAGAAGTGAATGAGAGGTGGTTCCCCATGGGTTCTTGGTTTCTCCCCCTATGGGCTAGGAGACCATGGACCTTCTGTAAAATACTGGCCTTGATTTCACAGATATTGTAGATATGAAAATATTGTAAGCACTAAATGAATTAATGAGCAAAAGGGCTTAGCACAGTGCCCGGCACAGAGTAACTGCTCAACAAACAGCTCTTGTATTAATTCAAAGGTGGCTCTTCTGTGGCTGGTGCCCTGGGAAGGGGGCAGGAGGAGGAGGAGGAGAGAAGACAGAGGGGAAACGGGGACAATAATGACAGCTAATACCGACTGGACCAGGCATGGTTCTGAGCACTTTACCTATATTAACTCATTTCATCCTCAAACTACCCCAAGGTGGCTACTATTATTTAGCCTCATTTCCTGTTTTTATGCATCTATGAGGAATGTGGTATGTAACTTCAGCAACCCGCCTGGAGTCCCGTGGCTCGCAGATGGTGGAGTCTGGATTCCTGCCAGGGCTGCCTAAGCCTCCAATCCACACTGCCTTCCCTGTGGCCGGGGGTTCAGAGCCTGGGCTTTGTTTTCACGTGACACAGGTTTGAATCCTGGCTCTATCACAGACCTGCCATATGGCACCGCAACTCCAGTTCCCTCATGTGTTCACGAAGACCCTCATCAAGTCCTGAGCAGAGCCTGGCACACAGGAAGTGCTCTCATCTCCAGCAGAGAGTAATCCTGTCTGCTGCTTTCCCCTCCCAGCCTTCCCCTCTCTAGGCCACACTGACAGCTCCCAGCCCACCTGGTTCATTATGTGGCAGCTCAGGACCCAACTTGGTGGAAGAAGGAGGCAGAGCCTGGTCTGCCTGGCGAGTGGGAGAAGGGGGGCCCCAACACCCTATCACTTATCTGGTGAGGCAGACACTGGGTTGAAACACCCAACACCCACCCCAATCCTGTTCTTCCGTTTGCTGCCACTACCAAGGCTGAGAAACCCACATCCTCTCTTTCCCAGCCACATCACAGCTGGGGCCATGTGACACTGATCTGACCCATGAGATGTGGGCAAAAATCTGCTGAGAGGGTTCTGAGAAAGGTTTTGCCTTCCTGATGAAGGCAACCATCTTGCGATAACCACAGGTGAAAGGCCAAGAGAATCACAGACATGCCTGCTTTGTCACCATGGGTAGCACCTACCTCTGGACTGCTTGTATATGTGACAAATAAGCCCTGTAAGTCCCTGTTCCTTGCAGTGGAAGCACTCCTGATATACTGAGTACAGTCCTACTCACCTGGGCGTGCTTGAAGATGTGCATGATGAAGATGGTAAGGCCCAGGCCGAAGATGTAGGCTGCAAAGCTGGTGTAGAAGTAGGTGTGGGTGTTCTTCTTCAAGCTTCAGGGAAGGTGTGGGGAGAAAGAGGAGGGTTAGATGTAGGCACTGGAGCAGCAGCCCTTCTGAGGATGGGAGCTGGGAAGAGCCTGCAGGCTGTGTGGGGTAGCTGGGAGTCTGGAGGTGGGTGTGCACTCTGCTACTGCCCTAGCTGTGTGTCTTTGGACAAGTCACTTTTCCTCTCTCAGCCTGTTTATTCATCTGCAAAATGGGAAAACCATGAGCCATCTCCCTGGGGGTTGTTGAATAGCAAATGCTATTTCTAGGCTACAGCCTACAACAGTAGGTATAAGACTTTAGCCAGGATAAAAAGTCACCTGGAAAGCTTGTAAAAAAAAAAATACAGTGTTCTAGGTCCATTTCCCAGGGAGTATGAAATAACAGGTCAGGGAATCTGCATTTTGACACAACTCAGGTGAATCTGATACAGGTGGCTCCTGCTTTGAGAAACACTGATACACAAACTTTAAGTACGTTGTTACTTAGGTGCAGTGGATGTAGCAGTTCAGTAACCTGTTGTGAAGACTGAACAGATGCTGACTGCACGAATAAATTGCCAGCGGCTTCCTGGAGGCAGCTCATCCCAGAGCAGCTTCAGAATAGCTGAACCACACGCAACCTGGCACTGCCATTACCGGACTTCCCTTTACAATGCCAGACCACGACCTGTGTGTGTCCCCAGCACCTGGGATGGTGCCCAGCAACATGTGTGGGATGAATGAGTACTTCTGACCCCCTTCTCTCCTTGCCCTGGCTGCTTATGAGCCTGGAGCGAAGAGTACATTGGGAGCTACCCTGTGGTGAAGCCTGGGATGCAAATGACTCCCTTTGGGAATGTCGCACAGATTCTGGAACCAGCTCTGAAGGGCTTGCTTATCCTGCAAGTCCAGGCCAGGAATGAGATTCTGCCTCTGAGGGTGCTGGCAGCTGAATCTGTGTCTCCAACAACTGCCACGTGGACTCTCGTGGGCTTTTCTTTGTATCACCTCTGGACAGCCAGGAGTAGAGCAGCTGGCACAGATGTGCCTCTGCTTACAAACTGGCCAGGTCCCTTCCAAAGACTGTAAGCCTGTGCGTTCATGAGGTCCAGCGTGGCACTACCCAAATAACCCAGATGTATGTGAGTAGGGAAAAGTTACGTTTCACATGCAAACTGGATTCCAATGACGCTCGCACTGAGTTTCTCATTACCATTGTCAACATTACCGTTTTTGCAATTACTGGGCACGAGGAGACTAAGAAAAGTTCATAAACCATGTCAAAATGAAGCACACACAACAGCAAGCCCTCCACTGGGACGACTGAGTGCCACTTGCTGGTGGCAGGCCCAGATGCCCGGATGCATTAGCTCAGTGCCACCTTTTCTAAGTGGTGACCCAAGTTAGCCCCCTTCCCGCTCCCTTGTGCTCACTTTCTATAATAGACTGAAAAAGGTCTGAGTAGGGAGAGGGTAGGGAACAGCTAGAGCAGCTGGGATGCGGTGACCTGACCCCGGGGTGATAAGCAATGATAAGGATGACGACTCCGCCTGCAGCTGGATTTGCCCCAGAGCTACTGAGGTCAGCCTGTGCTCAGCTCTCCTTCTAGACTTTCTCGGTAATCCTGGGGTAGGAGCTGTTGCTTACCATGAACACGTAAGGATGAGAAGCCTTAGCTCAGAAAGGTCACGTCATTTGCCAGGGTCACACGGTGAGAAAGCACTATGGGTACCACCAGGACCTTCTGGGTTTAAATCTCTCGGCCTGAGAGTCTTAACTTTTTTTTTTTTGCCATAGGCTCTTTGAACATTTAGAACCTCAAAATGCAAAATGCATATAAAAGCAAAACTGCTCTGGCTGCCGTGGGGGTGAAGGGTCTGGTCCCCTTCTCTGGGCTCCTGCAAGCTGCTATAGAACCCCGGGAGGACCTTCCTGCCAGGGAAGGCCCCTCCCTCGTGGAGCCTGAGGGTTAGGCCTCCTACGTAGCTTACCTGATGTCAAAACGCAGCAGCAGGGCAATGAAGATCCCTGCGGGGAGAAAGCCAGGGTTAGACAGTGGCAGGGACACCAGCGCCTCAGGAGGGCTGTGAGACGGAGTCCCAGGGAGGAGCAGGGTAGGGAACTAACATGCAACTTGGTCCCCAACCTGGAGTTCCCAGTCATGGAGCAATCATCGGGGGCCAAGGGTATAGCCAGCACTGCCAACTGAAATCCCGATTCTCTACCATCAGGCTACCTAGAACAATGAGAAAGTCCCAGGATTTTGCTTTGGCCTGGGACCATGTTGACTGGGAACCTCATAGCATACTGTGTACACTGGGTCCTCCACTCAAATGTTTATTGGGTGCCTGGTAACTACCAGGCACTGTAGGCAATACCGAGGAAGCAGAATCTCTGCTCTCAGAGAGCTCAGGCAATGGGGCAGACAAGCTGATCGAATGTTAACAAAAATCAACCTAAGACTGTAACTGCAAGGGTGATTCCTGTATCATGGGAAGGTGTATCAGGGGATGAGACCCAGGCTGGGGGCTGGGGGCTGGGGGCAGGCAGGCAAGCTTCTTTGAGGAAGTGGACACTTGCCAGGGAGAGGGAACAGCATGTACAAAGGTCTTGAGGAAAGAGGGCTCCGGGGGTGTGACAGGGGTCAAGGAGCCAGTACGGCTGCAACCCAGAGCAGGAGATGCAGGGGATGGATCAGCCATGCATGGCACTACAGGGCATGAAGAGGAGTTGTTCACCCTGAGAGTAAGGGGACGCACTGGACGAGTTCTAAGCAGGAGAACCACCTAAACAGATTTTGGAAAAGACCCCTATGGCGGCTGCTTGGTTGGAGGGAGAGAGTAGGAACAAGTAGACCATTAGGAGGCCCTGAAGGAGTTCAGGCGAGAACGGTTACCTTAATCCACCCACTGCACTCCTATTTACACTTCAAAACCCAGCCCACACGCCCCAGAAGCCTAAAAATCCCAGACACAGCCTCTAGCCTCTAGCCATACACCACATCCGTCTGTGTGTTTGTCTTCCTGACTGGTGTTTGGGCTCAGACAGCCTAAGGGCTGAATCTCATTTAGTTGAAGTTAGGCTCTCACATTCTGTGCTTATCAGAAGTACCAACTGGCGACATATGATCAATTTTAGTGAAGACTGTGAGTAGGGAGTTGCTGGAGAAGAGTAGGCAAATGCTGCCTTTCTGGAAACAAAGCTGTGGACTCAGTGCCCCCTGGCGGCTGAATTCTATAACTGTTCAACTAATCCAGGTGTCAGGGCTCCACCAGAAGCTTTTACTCCTAATAATGCATCTGGTCCTCAATACAAGGCCCCCAAACCCATTCTTCTCTGAAGAATACCACTGAGGCTCTGTGAGGGTGCAGTCAACTTACATCGACTGTGACTGCTGAAGGACTTAGATATACACAGGTATATACAGACATGCAGAGAAGGCCTGTGGAGCCTCAAGCTCAGAACTAGGACCAACAAAGACACGGGGGAAATGGGTGTAGGTGCTTGTGACAGACCATCCCCTGTGGACTGAGCCAAATGCTTCAGGGGACTCCATTTCCTCCATCTGATGGAGCCGCCTCCTCCCAGGGAAGCAAGCCTCTCTGCCTCATAGCACTGCAAGGTACGGAGCCACCTGGGCTCAGGATGACACCCCCCATGTCCCCGAGGCCTTAGGCAAGTCTCTGTTTTTTTTTTTTTTTTTTTTAATTTTATTTATTTATTTTTTCCCCCAAAGCCCCAGTAGAGAGTTGTATGTCATAGTTGCACATCCTTCTAGTTGCTCTATGTGGGACACGGCCTCAGCATGGCCAGAGAAGCGGTGCGTTGGTGCGCGCCCGGGATCCGAACCCGGGCGGCCAGCAGCGGAGCGCGCACACTTAACCGCTAAGCCACGGGGCCGGCCCGTGGGCAAGTCTCTTTGAACCTCGGTTTCCTCGTCTGTAAAATGGAAACACCCCTTACCTCACTGGACTGTTAGGAGCAGCAAATACAATGTATAAAAACACCTAACATAGTGCATGGCACACACCAGGTGGGGGCAAATGAGGGCTCCTGTGATTATCATCTTATTACTGTTGTCATTGTCATAAGAGCAGCTCTGACTGTGTGACCTTTTTCACAGTCAGACAGACATGGTCTGAGTCCTGGCCCTGTTGCCTACTCGTGTGTGAATTTATGTAAGTCCCTCACGCTGAGGCTCAGTGTCCTCACTGGTAAGAGAGAGCCAGCTTCTGCCTCCCCTCCACACGGATCATAACACAAGTGCCCGCGCCTTTCCAGGTTATTAGAATTGCTTCCTACGCTGGAAAATAAGGTGGCTTTTAATTTGTTCCAAACTTTCTTCTTTTAAGCAAGCACCAGGGGTGCTTCTAATCCTCTGATTCTGAGCCTCTGGGACAGGGGAACAAGCATGCCCTCTGGATGTTCACTGCCCAACACCAGGCCCAGATCTGCAGACACACAGCATCCAAGCCTCAGCCACTTGGCTGCCCTCAGAGTGCAGCTCAGCTTTGCCCTTCTTCTCCTGACTGGTAGTATGGGCTGCTGGTGCCCCGAGGCCAGGCAAGGCAGTGGGCCCTCAGGGACGTATGCCCATGCTCGGGCCCACAGACAGGGCACCTGTGCCCATATCCACAGGTGCTGACTAGCACTCACACATAGATGACGGGCTCAAAGGCTAGCTCGTGCAGACGAGCAGGTGCATGCCCCGCGTCCCTCTAAGAGCACAGACGCAGGAGCCCACACCCATGGTGCCCCGTGTCCACACACAGTGCCTGTTCTCCCTGAAGCCCTCCCAGCACAGGGGAGAGGGGGACCACGGAGATTAGGCAGTTCTAGCACATCTGTAATTCTTGCACACATTGGGAAGGGGCGTGGACATGTGTAGGTGTGTGAGAGGGGTCAGGTTCCTTTAAGACCGTCCCAGAATGTGCTTTTTCAGAGTGTATTTCAGTCTGTCACACACATTTATTTTTATTGTTCCTGAGTAATGTCTGTGCACCCAGACCAGCAGCTCTGTGAGGACAGTCTTGCTCACTGCTGTCCCTCCAGTGCCCAGCTTGGGGCCGGGCACATGACTGGCTCTCTATAATATGTGTTGAGTGGACTCCTCTACCAAACCCCTGGGCTCACCAGGGCTAGGGGTGTGGAATCACCTGGCCTAACCCTTCCCCTTTCTCTTTCCCAATGGTAAGGCTGTCTGTTTCACAGTACAGGGAATGCCCCCTCCAGCCCCTGCACCATGGCCCCGACCCCAGCCTGGTCACCTGGAATGACGATATCTCCGAGACCCAGCATGGCAAAGTTGTCTGCTTCGAGGCCCTTCTCCAGCAGATCCTGGGGAAACACCACTGCAGGGGCAGGCAGGGAAACAAGGAATTGGTGAGAGCCCCACCCACTTTGACTCCTAGCCTCCCACCACCGCCATGTGAACCTGGGTAGGGATATGGGGATGGGGAGGCGAGAGAATGTTGACAGGCTGAAGGGCAATGTTTCCATCTGGAATCACAGCTGGTTAGAGTGGGGAAGAATCTAGGATCATCTAGGCCAAAGGCTTAATGCCTTTATTGAGCTATAACTCACATTCTATACAGTTTCAATGCCGTTTTAAAGCCATGGAACCCTTTGGTTAAATGGGATCGACTCTAAAGCACAGTACATAAAAGAAATAAGAGAGTACACACAGTGCTGACGTCCAATAGGCATTTCATCACACTACAACAGGGGCCGGACAGACGGTGGCCCTCGTTCTGAAGCAGGGGAGCCTGGGCTATAGGCTCTTTCTGCATATGCTGAGGGAGAAAAGGCCACACACCTACCAATTCCTTGCTTGAAGCCCTCTCAGAAATCCTGTTGCAGCTTGTCTGGACAAATACAGATTGAGAGAAATGTCCCCCTGTGTCCAACTATGGCAAGGGGCAGCTGTAACCGGATTTCATCCAGAGGGCCTTGTGAGCAGAAGAGCAGTTAAGTGTGGGCTTCAGGGTCAGACTGCGTGCGTCTGAATCCTGGCTTTGCTGTGTGGCTTTGCACAAGTTACTTAACTTCTCTGTGCCCTAGTTTTCTCACCTGTGAAATGGATATAACAGAACTGATCCCATAGGATTAGGTGATTTGCACAGTGTTAACTGGTAACCCACGCCATCTTTACTAACCCAGTCCTGATTCTGTGTGGGGCAGCCTTCTCAGGTGATGGATCAGGTGTGGTGTAAGGCTAAGACAATCAGGACAATCCCAGTCCCTGAATTCCTGATTCCCTTGCCACTAGGGGTGGTCACGTGACCCAGCTCTGACCAATGGTATGTAAACAGAGGCATGCTGGGGGTTATGGGTAAGCTTGTGCCTTCCTAATAAACGTACAGACGCCCCTCCCTGCCCACTTCTTCCTGCCTTGAATGCAGAGTCACAATGATTTACAGATTTCCTCATGCGATCCTCCCAATCCTGGTGCCATTCAATTCTGAGTGGTGGATGTGGAAACCAGGGCCCAGGGAGGTGAAGTCTCTTCCCTAAGGCCACACAGGCAGCAAGTGTCAGATCTAAGATTCACATCCAGCCAGCCTGACTTCAGCACATACACACTTAACCACTCTGCTATACTGCCTCTGAGCTCCACGCCTAGCAGGAGGCAAGAAGCCTTCTCCCCAGGCCAGAAAGCTGGATTCCAAGCGCCAGAAACCAAATATGACAGTGTCATTTTGCTGTTCAGAGCCTTCCAATGGCTCATCCACTACCTAGAGGACGGTGTCCAGGCTCCTTGGCATGACATCCTTGGCTTCCCCAAATCTGGCCTCTCCTGCTGCTCCCCTAAACCCAGCCACACTCCCTCCCTGAGCCTCGGCTCCCAGGGCCCTCAAGCGTTTTCCTGCCTCCAGCCCTTTGCTGAAGCTCTACTCCCTCTTTCAAGTGCCCATACTGCCCTTGATGCTTGGTCAACACACCTTCACCCCTCAGGGCCCAGGAAAGCTCTCCTTACACCTCGGCTGGGTTCCTCCATCACAGCGCGTGGGGAGGAGCTGCTGTCCCGGCTTGCCCAGCATTTGTTCTCTTGCTCTGGAGCCCTGCCCTCACCTTACACCTTTGGTTCTGGGGGGCTACCAATTCAAACACTCTGCCCCCCGGCACTGGAGACAGCAGCGACCCAGGCCTGTCCATCACAGCAGGAGTGCCTGGCTCATGGGCCAGGCCAGGCTCCATAGGTTTAAAGCTGGGAGAAACTTGTTTTCCCCTGGGTCTCTGAGCTGGGACCACAGCATTTAGGAACAGTGTGTGGCCATGAGCCTCTTGCCAGCCCATGGAGAAGACCTGTCTGATGAAGTGGAGAATCAGACGGTGAGAAAAAGAGCTATTTCTTGATTCTCCGAGGTCAACTTCACCCCGACTGCTCACTGCCATGAGCCAACGCTTCCCACGGCACTTGCTCCCTGTTGATGCCCCCCAACAGGACCCTCCTCTTCTTCCTTGCTATCATGACTGATCCCGTCCTCCTCTTTGGGTCTCGTGATCCCAGGAGGTGATTCTTGATTAGCCTAAGGCTTAACTCGAAGGTAATCATGCTTCTCCTACCCCTCTTGTTAATGACTAGTTTGGATTTGTGCCTGTGACCCAATTCTGGCCAATGGAATATGCGGGAGGTTGCAGGGGGGATTTGGGGGAAAATACCCCTCTCTGATGAAAGAGAGACAGAGTTCCCCCTTTCTGCCTCTGGATGTGGCTGTGTGAGGAGTCAACGCTACAGACCGTGGCAGTCATCTTGGGACCATGAAGGGAGGAGCTTAATGGACAGGCGGACAAGCTGAGAACAGTGGGGCGAGGACTGAAGTAACCTTGGCTCCAGGTGACTCCACTGAGGCTCATCAACCAACCTGAGACACCCTACCCCTGGGCTTGCTGTGGTGTGAGGTAACAAAATTCTGCATGTTTAAAGACACTTGTAGCTGGATTTTCTAATATTTATACAATGGATATACTAAAGAACAGAAGCAGGGCAGTGTGAGAGGCGTGGGACAGACAGCACCGGATAACTAGGCGCTAGATGGATCCAGTGAGGGGGCTTCAGGTCTCAGTGTGGAGGTCTCCTCTTCTGGAGAGCCTCTGCATGCCCCGCCAGAGGCCGTGTTAGATACTCCCTCTGTGCTTGCTCCCATTCTGGCTCCTCCCACAGCACAGTGCACTGTGACCAAGCCGCCGGAGGCTGGGGCCTGGGCAGAGGGTGGCTGTGCGTGAACACAGCCAGATGAATCAATGAGCAGAAGGAAACCAGGCTGGAGACACAGGAGAGCTCGGAGGAGGAAGAGGTATGGGGGCAGGAGCTAAGGGTGGGTGCGACCACAACAGGGACCAGGAGGGGAAGGGCTATTGGGGCAGAGGCAGAGGGGCTCCCTCACTTACATTTTATTGGTGCCTCAAAGGACTTGGCCACTGTCACCATCACATTGGTGCCAAATACCTAGAAGGAGAAGAGAGGAGTCTGGAGGGAGGTGAGGGCCAGTGGGAAGCTTGGCTGTCCTCAGCCTCTTCGATGTGCTGCTCCCTGAGATCTGCAGGGAGGGAGGCAGGGAGCCGTGAGGGGCTCCAGGGCAGATGTGAAGTTGAGGTCAGGTGGCCACTGATACTGGTCACATGGACACTTCACGGGGCTCCTGGTTCTGGGTAACAAAGAGGGGCAATTCGAAGGAGTGGGAAAAGGCCTCTGATGGCCGTGGCTGGGCACCCTATGTTTGTTCAGGGCCCAGCCCCTCCCAAGAGACAAAGTCCTCCAGCATCCCCCACTGAAGTGGAGAAGAGGCTGCCTGAGGCCTGGGAAAGGGCGCCTGCGTCAGGCTGACCTCGATCCCTCACCGACGCCTCTCGGAGTGAGGTGGCAGGTCCCTCAGCCCAGGGCTGGTGTGAGCCAGAGCACACTGTCAACAGCAGCCTCTGTCCTCAGAGATCCGTGCGTTGGTGGGGCCCACTCATCAGCATTAACCATCCCTGCCTGAACTTCTCTGAGTCTTAGTTTGCTTGTGGGGAGACACAGGATAAAGAAGACCCCCGCTAGGGCCACCGTGAGGAGGACCTGAGGATGGCCGGAAGCCACCGGGAACAGGGTGGGCTCTGAGCAAGTGTCACAGATGAGGGCACCTGGCCAGGAGAGGACCTGCTCTGGGGTCCTGGCTTCCAGGCCAAGGCCGTCGCCCTCCATCAGCTGACCGCCGGTCCGGTTGGAGAGACGGGAGAAGGCAGGCACATGCACAGGCGTGCAGCGGTGGGCATCCGTGGTGCCCCTGCCCGACTCACCCAGAAGACATCGTAGATGAAGAGCCCGCCCAGCAGGATGCAGCCAGTGCTGACGTTGTTTAGGTGCAGCAGCTCCACCCCATTAAGGGAGAAGGCCAGGCCAAAGAGGTTGTTGGCAATCCAGTGCTGGGAAAGGAGGGGGTGAGATCAGCCTGCTGCGCTGCCCACTACCCCTGTCCTCTCCAGCACCTTCCCCACCCCGGCCCAGCCCTGGCTCCTTACCTTCCTCAGCAGGTACCAGACGCCAACGATGCTGCTCAGGCCCAGGCACACCAGGTCCTTGGTGTCAAACTCATAATTGATGATCTCTGGGCAGAGAGGCCGGGTAAGTCCACTCCCCGGGGCGGGGCTGCCCCTCCCACCTGTCAGCCCCTGGACGGAGGAGGGCATGGCTGTGGGCACTGTCAGAGGCTCACAGGCCAGGGGTGCTCACTGGAGCCACCCCCAGCCCCTCCAATTTCCTGTCGGAGGGAACGGAGGCCCAGAGAGAACACAGGCCTGAGGCAGGCTCAGTGGGAGGGGGTCCGTGATGCTGGAAGCACAGGGTCCATGCTGGGTGACCTTGGGGGAGGCAGCTCGCTCTCTGAGCTTCAGTTCCCTCATCTGTAAAAATGGGACCCCAGCACCTCCCTGATAGGGCTGCTGTGGGGAGCAAGTGAGATGGCTCTTACAAAGCACTCAGCACAGTGCCTGGCACAGAGCTGGTGCTCAACCATTGCCAGCTGCCACTGAGCCCAGCTCTTTAGCAAGGCCCCAGTTCATTCAGGAATCTTTCTACTCTGCCACCAAAGGGATCAAGAAGGTTGCTGGCAGCCCTGCGTCACTAGCAGAGGAGGAAGAGCAGGAGGAAGAAGGTAAGAGACGGAGAGCTGGAGAAAAGCTGGAGAGAGTCCCTGAGGCTGCTCTTGTGGGGAGCCCTGATGTCAGACCCACTCTCCATCACTTCCAAGTCTCCTAATAAGGAAGCCCAGAGAGGTGGTGGAGCTTGCCCAGGGTCACCCAGCACAGCTATTTCTTTCAGATTCCAGAGCGCAGCAGACTGCTGGTTAGCCCCGACTTCTGTTCCCTCCTTTGTGGTAACGGCACTCTGATGATTTTTAACTGGACATGACGCCACCTAGCTCACGGCCACATTTTCCAGCTTCCCCTGCCACTAAATGGGCCTGTGACACAGCTGTTCCCATTCCCTCTGATGGGACTGTGGAGTGACGGTGCACCATCCCAGACCCGAGGGTCACCCGAGTGTGCAGAGCATGAGATAGATGGAGCCTGGGACCCTGAAGACTTGTGGTGCAAGCTTAGTTTTTTCTCTTAATCTCAACAACCATTTACTGGGCACAGATGCACTAGAGATGCAAAAAGAGACGCATATAAAATTGCTGCTCTCTAGGGACAAGGCAGAGTGTGCTGGGCACCTTCACAATGAGCACGACCTTCACGAGCCCAAACTTTTACACAAGAGAGAAATACCTTCCATTTGGTCAAGCCATTGATGATCTTGTTAGAGCATTTGAACCCATACCCTAAGTAACCTCCACAGCCCAGGCTTTCCCCAATTCTCCTGAGTTTTCATTTTTTTTTTTAATTAATTAATTAATTTTTTTTCCCCCAAAGCCTCAGTAGATAGTTGTATGTCATAGTTGCACAGCCTTCTAGTTGCTGTATGTGGGACGCAGCCTCAGCATGGCCGGAGAAGCAGTGCGCCGGTGCGCGCCTGGGATCCGAACCCCGGGCCGCCAGCAGCAGAGCGCAAGCACTTAACCGCTAAGCCACGGGGCAGGCCCTGAGTTTTCATTTTTCTAAAAGCCGTGGAACCTGTTTCAAATCTTAGGTGGGGCAGTAATCACACTAAAAATAGAGAAAAATAGCTACAATGGCCAACTGTTACTGAGCGCTCACTACGAGCCAGGCAGTGTGCAGATGCTTTCCACTTGTCACTGACTCGCAGTCCTAACAACATGCCCATAAGGGAGGTACTAGATTTTAATGTTCATTTTACAGATGGGAAAAAAAAAAAAAAAAAAAACCCCAACAAAAACACCCAAGGCTCAGAGAGGTAAAGGCGTTCACCCAGAGTCCCACGTCTAGGTGGTGGCAGAACTGGGCCATGAACCCAGGCATTGGGATTCCAGAGCCCCCCTTTTCCATCACTTGCTCTACTGAAGAGCCCCAACATCTGAGGGACAAAGGGGAGCAGAGATGGATGACACCCGAGGCAGGGGAAGGCGGGCAGCACTGACCTTCCTTGTTCTCCCCAGAGCCCTGCGTGAAGAGCAGCTGGTACTGTCGATTTGGGAAGTTGGCTGGAAAAAACTTATTCATGAAGGGGCTAGAAGGAAAGACAAAGCAGGTTGGCAAACAGAGCCCCCACGGACAATCACAGCCACAACACCACCCCACGCGGGAGCCCATTGACAGCTGTTACCTCTTGACACCCTCACTGCTGCCCAGAATAGGCAGGTATTCTTGGGCCCATTATACAGATGTGGAAACAGAGGCCCTCATTGGGTAAGTGCTGCCCAGGGTCACACAGGGAGCCAATACCTGAGCTGAGACTCGAACCCAGGTGTCTGGACTCCTGGTGTCTCCGTACTACCTCTTGGTTATCACCCAAGAAACAGAAAGCAGAGGCAGACTTCCACATAAAATGCAGTTTTCAGGAGAGCAATGGATTCCAGAGTCCGGTTCACGTGCCGTCTGTATGAGTCCCTTGGTCAAGAATGCATATTCCTGGACTCCTACCCCGACCTAGTCAGTCAGATGACTGAGGGCTACCCCACTCCAGGACTTGTCAGGCCTGAGAGTTTTACAAACTGACTGGACTTGATCAGCTAGATGAAGCACAGCCCCTCGGGTGGGAGCACCCTCTCCTCCCATTCACTCCTTTCGCAAGGCCTCTGTTGCTCAGGATGGCCCATCTCTGGAAGCATTCTCTCCGATTACCAGCATACTCTACTTCCTGGCCAGGCAGGAAGAGACTTTCTTTTCTGGATCCCCTTCAGAGCAAGATTAGCAAATCAGCGCTCTTGGCCCAGCCTGGTCCTGAAGGCGGCAATATTGTGGACTGGCTACAAGCTTGGGTGGCCCCGCCTGAAGCCTGCTCTGCCACAAGCCAGCCGTGTGGCCCTGGGGGAGCCACCTTAGTGGCTCAGTCTCCACAGCTGTATGTGGCGATAATAACAGCGCCTCTCTCAGAGGGTTGCTGTGAAGGCAGGGCAGCAGCTTAGCCCAGCACTGGACCCACAACAGGGACCTAAGAACTGCAGGCTTCCGTCATCACTGGCGCTTGTCCGGAGCCTGAGCTCGAGAGCATTCGGCAACACCAGCTTGGACTGACGACGACTAACGAGGTGGGTAGATCCAGGATGGTGCTCCCAACTGTAGGTAAACTGAGGCAGGCCAAGAGGTACCTGGGGCACAGCGGTAAAGGCAAGGAAAAGGGAGCTCTCTAAGACCCTGGGGCTGGAGGAAGATGTGGATTCAAGAACCATCTCCTGGCCTCAGCTTCCCCACCTGTCAAAGAGCCAATCCCTCTCAGGCTGCAGGGCTGTGGCATGAATGATGAGAGGGCTTTGTGAATAGAGGCGGCACGGCCACAGGATGGAACTGGGAGTGGGCTTCCACAGCAGGGCTGAGGAGGTAGGAGGCAGAAGCTGGGGTGGATGAGGCTGGAAGCTAGTTCCACCTCAGTTTACCGAATCCCTTCCAGGGGAGTCTGAAGCCAGTGTGGGTGTGCCGAGGCAGGGAGAGGGCCTGAGGAGCTAAGCCCATCACACCAGCCTGGCCTCTTCCTTAGAAGCTTGATGCTGTTAGCTTCTCAACCAGCAGAGTGCAGTGGTTAAGAGCATGGACTCTGGAGCCAGACGTCCTGGGTTCAAATCCCAGCTCTGCCACTTATTAGCTGTGCAACCTTGGGAAAGTTACTTGACTGTTCCATGCAACTGTTTCCTCATTTGGAACACTACAACATTTCTCATAGGGTTATCAAGAAGATTAAATGAATGTTTGGTACTCTGTAAGATTAACTGCAGCTTCAACTTCAAGTAGGAAGTCTCTAGACTGATGTCTGTTATCCTGAGAAAAGAGGGGCTGCTGGATAACACAAGGCAAGAGGCAAGGAGCCTGGCTGGGGTGAGCCTGAACTCGAGGGCAGGGCTCTGTCTCATCACCTTCACCCCTCCTCGCCAGGCCTATGCCTAGGCAGCAGCTGGCAGGTGCCTGCCGAGCGCCTCTGAATGCAGCCTTTCGCAGCAGGCAGAGATTCCTTCCAGCCCTCGATGGCTCACGTCAAACCTAAAGGTCACTGCTTCCTGCTGGGAAACCACATCCCGGTGCCTTTCTCCCCTGCGGGTGGAAGCAAGGGTCAGTGAAACTGGGGATGTGGCCTCCCCCAGGTGGCAGATTTTGGCCTCATGGGTCTTTTCTCCTCTAAAGGTCAGCTGGGTGGGATGGGAGCTCAGAGGTGATAAAAATAAGCCGCGGTTCCCTTGGCAGGAAGGAGTCTGGCATGGGCTCGGGTCTTGGTGATTGCACAGGATGAGGCAGGCTGCGGTCCCTACCTTCCCCTAACACCCCCAGCTGCGGTTTCTTCCCAGAGAGGCCTGAGGTGGGCTGGGGACGGTGGAGGGGGTGGAAGGAATCCCACAAGAACCTCCACTGGCCTGCGGCTCCGCTCCTACAGCCTTTCAGCAGGCCTGTCCTCTGCAATCCTTAGGAGACCACAGGCTCCCTGGGAGAGGGAGGCCAGCCCACCCTCTTGAGGCTCCCTCTTCCCCTTTGCCAAAACTGGAAACAAAACTGGTCGTGGAGTCAGACAGAACTGGGCTCAAAACCTCACTCTGCCCCCACCAGCTGTGAATCCTGGTGGTCACAGAACCCTTGAGCCTCAATTTCTGTCTCAAACCTTTAGACCTTGTTGTTCGGATCCTGAGGAAGGTTTGACTCTTAAGTTTGTAGGTGTAAACAGCTCATCAAAATCCTAACAACAACGTAGACTTTCTCTGAGAAAGTATTTAAGGAAACATTTTATTGAAGAAGTATTATTTAATTCTTAGATCAATTTTCTAAATAGCATGATTAAATTATGCCCTCCCCCTCTTTTGCTAAACTTATTTTCATCCGATTCAGTTCTTTTCCATGTAAATTTTATAGTAACGACTTCTTTCATCCCATAGTTTTTGGTCCATGTCAAATTCTTGAGGGGATAGCTCTGACTCCCTATGGTGAGCACCCCTTCTGCCCACGGCCATCCATTATTTTTATAAGGTCTAATTTTCCCAGGTCAAATTTTGTGCTCTAAGTTTTAGCAAGAAAATGATTCTTCTGTAAACTTTTGGTCACTAACAAATTTTACCACGTATAGTTTTAGTTGTTGTTGGTTCTGTTTTCTGTTGATAATTTCTATCAGTAAAAATTATGAATTGGTTAAAAGACAGACAGACAACTGTTTCTTGGCTAATCCACGAGAAATTTGGGACAATATTCCTGAGTTCTTGTTTTAAAAGGAAAAAAAATGTCTTTGGTGTTAAAAATGATGCAGGTTCAAAACACCTTGCTTGGGGGATGGAGATCCCTTTTGCAGGGTTGTTGAGATAAAGCGAAATAATCAATTGCTCACTCAGTACATGGCCTAACAGTGGCTTTCAAAATATATTGGGTTCTTGTGCTCTGAGGTGGGGTTTGGGCTGTGGGGAGGACTGGGGGTCTCAAGTCTCTCATGTATGCTGGGGTGGGATGAGCTAGAGCTGGGGGGATCCTAATCAGCATTGGAAAGGAAGGGCCCCAGTGTCTGGAAGTGACTGTCCCACCCCATCCCCGGTCCACTAGGAAAGGAGAGGTCTGTCCTTTGATGAAGGATGACTGGGTCTGCCAGTCTCTTGCCAGGTCCAAGTCACCCAGGTTCTCTGGGTCTTCATTTCTGAGGATGGGGGGCTGGACTAGAATTCTCCCAAGGTGGCTAGAACAAGATTCTGTGGATGAAGGGTGGGTGTATTGAAGACAACAATGAACTCAGTCAAAAGACCAGAGTTCAAGTCCCAGCTGTGTGACCTCAGGCCAGCCACTCAACTCACGGTGTGCTGGGCACTGTGCTCTAGGCAGGTTATAGACGTGGCTCACCTGATCCTGCTCACGCCGCTACGAGGACGTGCTCCTGGTATCTCCATTTTACAGGTGAAGAAACTGAGGCTCGGAGAGCCTGAGTAACTTACGCACATCACAGAGCAGAAGAGCCAGGCCTGGGGTCCAGGCTGTCTGCCTCTTGAACCCACCTCTTGATTACCATGCTACCATGCTGCCCTGCCAGCTTGATGACAGCAACGAGGTCAAACTTAGTGCAGCTTTCAATGCCTTCTGTGAGCAGATCCTGCTCTTTCTCTCTAGCTTTCTCTCTGACTACTCTGGGAAGATCCTGACTGTGCCCTCAACATGCACAGACCTTCCAGCTCCTGGCCTGGCCTCTCCCTCTTTCGTGCCTCTTCCAGGTTTCCTACCCTTCAAAGCTCAGTCCAAGTTGTGTTCCTTCCCTCTGGGAATTTTCCCTGGTTTGCTGGCTGCCTCATGGACTATCAGTGGTTCTCAGCCTGAGGCTGAACCACCTCAAGAGGCCAGAAGGAAATAGGCTGCGACGCTTCTGTAGTCACAAGTTAAGGGATGGGCTAGGGGAACAACTCCCATCTGGTAAGCAGGGCTAAAGATTTCAAATGTTTACAAGGCATGGAGAACTGGCCTGTCCAAATCGCCAACAGCAGCCCCACCCAAGGATCATTGGCCTAGATCCTTCATCCCCATTGAACGGACACAAGCATGTGGCAATCTGAGCAGGGTGACAGTGGGAAGAGGATGGGCTCTGGGGCCACACAGACCTGGGTTTGAATCTTGGCTCTGCTGCATATCAGCTGTGTGATCCTAGCAAATTTTGTAACCTCTCTGAGCTTCAGTTTCTGAATGTAAAACAGGATTAAAAGCAAAAGCTAACCTTATAAGGTTACCTGGCAGGTTTACAGAGTAACAGCAACAACAACAATAGTTAACAGTTATTGAACATGTTACGGCCAGATACTGTGCTAAAAGCTTGCCACATGACCCATAAAGAAGGTACTATCATTTTCTTCCACATTCAAGCGAAGAAATTGAGGCCAGAGAGATTAAGTAACTTGCCCAAGTCACAAGGCTATTAAGTGGCAGAGGTGGATGCAAAGTCAGGTAGTCAAATTCCAGAGCTGCACTCACTTCTCACTCTACTGCCCGTCTCTCACTAGGAAATGAGACCACATGCGAGAAGCCTCACTTGGCACGGCAGGCTACACCACCTGGCAGGTGGCATTGGCGCTACTCACCTCAGTACTGTGACAACTAGCATGACATTACTGTTCACAAATGACTTTCCCAATCGGATACTCTTATCACTCCCTGTAAGGAAACTGTGGCCCAGAGAGGTTATGGTTCTGGTTCTAGGTCACCCACAGTGTGACACAGGGCAAAGATTCCCTTGGGTTTTACAGCCAGGATTCAAACCTGGCTCTGAATGACGCCAAAGGTCATGTTCTCATCCAAGACCCTGTTCTGGCTCCTGAGAAAGCTGCTTCAAGTGTTGCAGAGATGCCTTCTGACCTGATGGTGTGGGACAGGGCCAGGATTCCCAGTACGAAGAAATACATGGACAGCAAGAGGTTGATGTATTCCTGGGAGAATATCTGAGGCAGAAATACAAAGAGAAACAGGCAGTCAGGGTTGCTGGTGGCTATGAAGAAACCAGAGTCCCCGCTTCTCTTCTAGGGGTTGGTCTCACCCCTCTGGAGTTGGGGAATGGTGTCAGGAAGAATCTCAGACAGTCCTAGGGACCTTCCAGTTTCTGCAGCTATGGAGAAAAAGGAAGGAACCTCAGGCCCCCAGATGCAGCTCCCAAAGGAGTCTGTAGGCTGGGCTTGGTGGCTCTAATATCTGGAGACGGGCAACGTTATGTTTGTACCCAGAGTCCTGCATGGGAATCATGGGGGAGGGGAGTCTGAAGTTCAGAGCCCCAAGAGAGCCATCTGAACCTCAGAATGATGCACTCTGCCAGGTTTCTGTCTCCTTGCTCAGAAACCTAGGGAGCCCCCTACAGTGGCCACCAAGGCCCTGAGCACGCTGGTCACAAGTCTCCTGTGCCCCGCTCCACTCTCCACATCACGCTCTTCTGGATGACTCCTCCCACAGTGATGGCTGGAGGCATGGACAGCAGGTCCTGATAGCTGCTTCCTGGTCTTATTATCGTCATGTGAAACTGAGAAATGTTTTCCCTCACAGTGCTCCAAAGTGTCACATGTTGTTAACTCTGGGCTTTGGGAAGGCTATGCCACATCACTCCACATTCACTGCATCATCTTCTGGATTTGTTATTGCGAGGGTCTCTAACTGGGAGGGAATAATGTGCTGCTGTGTGGGGCGTAGGGACCTTGGCCATTCTCAAGTAGGGCTGTTCCGGAACGTGTTTCCCCTGCTTAAAGCCTCTTAGCAGCTTCCCTCTGCTCTCACAAGCTTGAGGCCCACACCCTCACCTACCCTGGACTCTCAGGCCCTCATGGCGACCCCTGCAGACCTCCTCAGCCGCAGCTCATTCCTGTTCTACGTGCTGCGGCCACACTGGCCCCCCCTCCCGCCCACAGGCAGTTGTACGCATTCTTCTGCTGCCCGGGATCTCTCCTCTCCACCTAGGGCCCCCTCCTCATCCTTCCGCTCTCAGCTCAGAGCAGCTTTCCCTGACACGACCACCCCCTCATGAATTCAGCTCATGTTACTGACTGCCTACTAAGCGCAGTGCATCGTGCCAAACTCTGGGGATACAGCCAGGAATAAGGCAGAAGAGTGCCTGCCCTCATGTGTCCGTGAGGGAGAAAGGATCTCAAAAGAAATGAATATGCAATACATTGTCAGGTGGCGACGGGCGCTGGGGAGAAAAGCAAAGCAAGGCGAGGAGATGGAGAGAGGGGGAGAGCCTCCTAACGGGAGGACACTCGCTCACTTAAGAGTAGAAACCTTAACGCCAGAAGGGAGCAGCTGTGAGGACACTGAGGGAAGCCCATCTGAGGCAGGGGGAAGGGTGAGAGCAAAGGTCCTGAGGCAAGCGCACGCTAATGTGTGCAGGGAACAGTGAAGGCCTGTGAGGCTGGAGCTGAGGGCGAAAAGGGAGATTGTCAGGAGACGAGGCTGGGAAGGCAAGACAGAGACAAACCCTATGGTGTCAAGAAAAAGGTGTTAGCTTTATCTGTGTGAGCCAGGCTGGTAGTGGAGGGCTGAGGGCCAGGTTGTGACGTGATCTGATGGCCTGAGAGGATCCTTCTGCTGCTGTGCGGCAGACAGACTCCACAGGGCAAAAGTGGAAGGAGACAGCCCAGTGAGGAGGGCACTGCATAATCCAGAGGAGGGGGGGTGGTGCCTTGGGCTGGGGGATGGAGGGAAGTGAGGAGCAGTGCTCAGATCCCAGATTTGTTCTGGAACTGGAGATGCAGGATGTGCCGAGGGGCTGGCTATGAGGGCTGAGAGAAGGAGCAGGGAGAAGGATGACTCCCAGGGTTTTTGGCTGAACAGCAAGGTGGATGAAGGTGCTGAGGTCGGGGGCCTGGGCAGGAGCAGGGCTTCACTCTAGTCTGGTTTTTCTGTGCTTTCCTGGTGCTACAGACCTTGCCTTCACAGCACGTCCTAGGACTGTAACTTCACATTTATCTATGGGATTATTTGATGGGTGTCTGTCTCCACCACTTAATAAGACGCTCCTTGAGGGTAGGGATGGGTCAGCTGTTTTTCTCACTCCAGTGTCCTGAGCACCTAGCACAGGACCTGGTGCACAGCTGGCACTCAATAAATGTTTGTAGACTGACTGAATGGATGAGCAAATCAGTGGCCTGTAATGTGAATGCTATAAGAAAAACTCCTGGGAACACAGCATGTGGACTGGGTTTTCCTTATGAAGATGTGGTGTACCTCTCAGAGTGTTTTTCAATGTTGGCCCTTGGGAAAAATGTCTCTCTGGCTGTACCTTTGAGCTTCTGGTGGCTTGACTATGTGGACTATGAATTGTGCACCAAGTCTCACTTTCTTTGTGCTTCAACTGCTAGAAAGTCAGAGTCACACCTATGTCAGAGACATTTCTGGCAAGGGTACAAGTCTTTAGAGTTTAGAACATGGGGTCTGGGTCTGGTCCTTACCCAAAGCTTCATTGTTTTAGCCTATTTTAATTTTCTCCTTCACTCCAATTTCTTCCTTTATTTTTCTTATGCTGTTGGATTTAATTTGTATAAGCTGCCTCAAAGCAATCAGTTTTAAATGAGGTAGGATAAAGTAAATTTTGTGATTTTGAGAAATGTTACAAACTCTAGCGCCCCCCTCAAGAGGAGAGGAGGAAAGGGGCTGAGTGAGAGCCACTGTTAAGCAAACCAACCAATCAACCAGCTGTCAGTCCGGAGTTCAGAGGGACCTGGTGGCCGTGCTGTCCAGGCAGCTGCTTTTCAGAACTCTCAACGTGGACACTCTAGAGACATGGGGAAGCTGTGTGCCGTGTCCTCTGGCACAAGGCAGGCTGGGGCTTACCTGCCTGGAGAGGAGGACAGGCTGAGCAACAGGAAGCTGGTGCCTTAAACAAAAATGTTCACACTCTCTGCTGCCAGAAATTCCTTTTGGGAATCTCAGCTAAGGATGGAATCCTAAATACTAAAATATAAGAAGGTCTTGAGCCAAGGGCCTGGGTGTGTATTCCTAGCACTTTATTTTAGTTTTTTTTTTTGTGAGGAGGACTAGCCCTGAGCTAACATCCGATGCCAATCCTCCCCTTTTTTTCTTGAGGAAGACTGGCCCTGGGCTAACATCCGTGCCCATCTTCCTCTACTTCATATGGGACGCCACCACAGCACAGCTTAATAAGCGGTGCGTTGGTGCGCACCCGGGATCAGAACCTGCGAACCCTGGGCCGCCTCAGCAGAGCACGCGCACTTAACCGCTGCGCCACCGGGCGGCCCCCCTAGCACCTTTAGCACAGCAGAGACTTGAGAAACATCTGCCAAAAGCCAAGCTGGAGGCAATGGGCTAGATGTACAGAGCCACAGAGAGATCTCAGAAGCATAGGGGAGAGGAAAAGGAAACAGAGGGCCACGTATTGCACTGTTCTGTTTACAGAAACTAGACTTACTCAATACACACAGATACATTAACACCATATATTTTATAAGGAGACACACACATCTAAGGACATAAAACACATTAGAACAGGTGCCTCTGGCAGAAAGGGAAATAGATGTGGGAAATGGAGGTGGGCATTAGGGGTGAAGAGGGAGAAAGAAACAAAGGGGGTCTGGCATGGACTGATGACGGTGTGCTATGAACCAAAGTGTTTGATACATTCGACTTTTCACCTGAGGTCCAGGAAGAAAAGAAAAAGAAATGTGAATTCCTAATGTTATTTGATACACTCTTATTTATGAGAGTCAAAATCAGGATGATTTTTTCTGTTTAAAGTGAGAGAGATGCTGTAAGTCAACCGTGGTGTATCTGCTTGTGGGGATATCCTGAAATCATTAAAAAGAGTGGTTCTGATTCAACAATGGGGGAGCGATGGGACAGGAAACAGGCATTAAAAATTATTTTTTTGACTCATTTACAGACCGGTAAAAATAAAGAATTCTGATGCTACTCAATGCAGGTGAGAGTACAGGGGAGCCAGCACTCTCTGTTGGAGGGAATGTAAATTGGTATGATCTTTTTGGAGGGATTTGGCACTATCTGTCCAAATTACAAGTGGAGATGCTATTTGACCTGGTAATCCTACTGCAGACATACCTGAAAATATGTGCATGTGCCAAGATATATACCAGAAGATGTTCATGGCAGCAGTGCTATAATACCCCACCACTAAATACCCCTCAGGGGCACGTCTGTAAAGCAGAACCAGGAGTAGCCGTTAAAAAAGACAAGCTGGAGGGGTCGGCCTGGTGGCGTAGTGGTTAAGTTCACGTGCTCCGCTTCGGCAGCCCAGGGTTCGCGGGTTCGGATCCCAGGCACGGACCTAAGCACTGCTTGTCAAGCCATGCTGTGGCGGTGTCCCATATAAAGCAGAGGAAGATGGGCACAGATGTTAGCCCAGGGCCAATCGTCCTCAGCAAAAAGAGGAGGATTGGCAACAGATGTTAGCTCAGGGCTAATCTTCCTCACCAAAAAAAAAAAAAAAAAAAAACCAAAAAACAAAAAAACTCCATGCTAAGAACTACATGTTTGATACATATATTTGTTTTTAAAAAAAAATTTTTTTTAGATTTTTTATTTATTTATTTTTTCCCCCCCAAAGCCCCAGTAGATAGTTGTATGTCATAGCTGCACATCCTTCTAGTTGCTGTACGTGGGATGCGGCCTCAGCATGGCCCGAAAAGCAGTGCCTCAGTGCGCGCCCGGGGTCTGAACCTGGGCCGCCAGCAGCGGAGCACGCGCACTTAACCGCTAAGCCACGGGGCCGGCCCTGTTTTTAAACTTTAACATAAACGTAGATCTATGCATAATAGAAAGGTTCATAAGAAACTATATTGGAGAGAGGATTATGGCTCATTTGCACCTTCCCTTAGGTTGAAAACTGTTTTTAACCATGTACTTATATTTTTAAAATGTAAATTAAAAGTCATCCTTGAGGAATTTTCAATGACCAAGAAAAAAGTGCTTGTGATGCACTGTTAAAAAAAATAAATAAAAAGATGCAACACTGTTATAATATGATTATGTTAAAAATATGCTTATTAAAAGCCTGAAAGGAGGTATGTCAAAATGTTAAGTGATTATCTCTGTGTATTTTTCCCTCTCTTGACATTTTTCCCTCCGAGTTTTTGCATATATTACTTTTATAATCAGAAAATCCCACGTTATATTAAAAGAAAGTTTAAGGAGAGTTTGTAGTAATATGAGGAAATGCTTCTGATGTTATTCATGTGAAGTGGAAAAGCAGCTACAGAACCGAATGCACCACATGGTCACAGCCACGGAGAAACCACGCACGGGGAGGAACAGCGGAAGGACACACCTCAACAGGGAGTCTGTGATTGTCTCTGGTAGTGGGGTTTTGGAGGACTGCTGTTTTTCCCTTTTTACCTTTCTGTGTTTTCCAGGTTTTCAACACTGAGTCTGTGTAACTTTTATTGGGAAAATAAACCTCGATAAATTAAAAAAAAAAAAAAAAAAAGCAATTAGTATGGTAGAGGTATGTCTGAGACACAAGCTATACCCCATCCCAACATAAATGGTACAATGAAACCAAATTGGTACCATGAAAACAAAACAAAAAGCTACATGGAGAAAAGAAATAAAGACTGGCGGGAAAGAATCCCCAACACCAACAGTGGTCGTCTCTGGGTAGTGGGTCTACGGGTGAATTTGTACTATTTTTTCCTGCTCTTTATTTTCTATAAATGAACATGCATGTCTCCTGTGATGGGAAAAATAAAACAAAATGAAATAAAGTTATTTAAACCGAATGACACAACAGGTGGAAGAGGACTTACTTTGAAAAAGAGGTAGAGCCCCAAGAGCGTGCAGCTGGCGATGATGGGGAAGCGGGCAGCGTCCCGGCTGGTGATGGTCTCGGGCATGTCCGAGGCGTTCTGGAGAGAGAAGAAAGGTGCCTACTGAGCAGGGGTGTGGTCTGCCTCCAGGGACTGGATACGGTGAGAATGTGATGCACCAAGAGCTCATTCACCTCCTTCTCCCCCTCTGTGCCCGGTTCACTCAGGTGCCTCAGGGGTTTCCGTGTTTTCCTGACTCAAGGCTGCTCCCTCTGCCAGGGATGGTGCTCAGCCCACCCTAGGGCAACATGCTCTGATCTGGCCATTTTGCCATTGAGGAGATCTGGACCCCGACAGGGACAGTCTGGGGAGGAGACAGCGCACGTGGCATAGCTGGGGAGGGGAGTTATGGCGGAGGCAGTTATCGCATGTGATAACTGAAAGTAAAAATCCTGGAAACTAGTGACAACAGAGTGGTTCTAGACTTCATGAGAACTATTTCCAATTTTCTTATGGATTAGCTGAGAGGTAAATAGGATTAATCTTTCATCTAGTAGGTGGTGAATACTGAGTGGAAATCAACCAACCACAAACAAAACTGACAATGGCTGACACTGCACATGGGAAGACGCCAACTGCAAGGAGAAGCAAATCAGGACAGAACTTAAATTTTAAGAAACGTGAGTGGGAAAGTTGAATCTGGTAAGAGTAAAAGCTACAATTAAATTTACAATGGCAGACGTTATAGTTGGCAAGAATGTGATCTGGGTAAAGAGCTGACAGGATAAATATTTACATGAAAAAGAACTGAATGTAATAAAAAAAATTTCAATATTATAAAAAGGGAAAAAGTTGGAAGTGGAATAACAATGCAACACAGGAATTAAATTAGCTTCATAGAATTCATGCCAAAAACTTTCAAATGAAAATACATCAACAGTAGCACAATTCTGGTTTAAATTTCTTTTTTTAAATTAATTTCACTTGTTTCTTTTTTTTTTTCTTTTTGCTGGGAAAGATTCACTCTCAGCTAATGTCTGTTGCCAATCTTCCTCTCTCTCTTTTTTCCCTCCCCAAAGCCCCAGTACATAGTTGTATATTCTAGTTGTAAGTCCTTCTAGTTTTTCTATGTGAGCCACCACCATAGCATGGCTACTGACAGATGAGTGGTGTGGTTCTGCACCCGGGAACTGAACCCAGGCCACCGCAGCAGAGCGCGCCGAACTTTAACTGCTAGCCCATCAGGGCTGGCTCAATTCTGGTTTAAATTTATATTAAAAAACACAGAGTCAAAAGCTTTGAGGATCATGATGCTCTCTATGCCCTCTCTCTGCTAGGCAAAAATCCTTAGTTCTCAACAATGCAGCCAATATCAATGACATGGAGTTTTTCCAGATTTCCCCATTGGGGTAAACCTACTCCCCAACTGCAATTCCCATCACATTTTATATGTCTAATTCTATTCTATATCATAGCTACCAAAAGTCCTAGCAATGCTGGATTAGATTTCCGTGCATGCCAAAGTGAAGTGCTCTCTACGAGAGCCATAGGCTCATCACCACGACCACGTCCATCCTGTGAATAAGGCACCAGCATCCCTGGGACAAGGGATCACGTTCAGCTGCAGACTCTCACTAACATTTTGGCTGACAGCTGCCTCTTAAAAATCAATAGGACAAAACATGCTAAGGGGGAAGCTGCCTGGAGAGGGCAGATTTTGGCTCAGGGAGGCCTCGTGCCCCAGGGTGGAAGACTGCAGAAGGGGAAGGAGATGGGGGCATTCGGCAGTGAGCCCACGAAATGATCACCAGGAGATGGAGATGTGGGGAATGGGATGTGCATAGGCCATCGGTTTGAGTACAGACTGGTCCAGCCTTTTGGGGAGGACAACTTGGCAGGATGCATCAAATCGTAATTTGCACATGCCCAAGGATGTGAAGATAAGATTCACAGATCAGGAACTACAAATGGCTCTTAATCATAGGAAAAAGTGCTCATCCTCACTCTTAATGAGAAGCTCAAATTAAAGTACACTGAGATTCCATTTTTCATCTATTAGAATGGCAAAAATCCACACATCTGATAACATACTGAGCCGGTGCGGCTGTGGGGAAGCAGGCGCTGACCTGCAGTGCTGGCAGGAGGGTAAATCCATCTTGCTGCAGAGAGTACTTTGGCGATACATGTCAAATTCACAAACGCATATACCCTTTCACCAAGCAATTCCACCCCTGGGAATTCTTCCTACAGATATAATTCACACATAAGCAAAATGATGCATATAAAGTGTATCCAAGGTATTCATCGCTCTATTAATGGCTTGCTGGGTGACTGAGGCAAATCATTTGCTTTTTGAGCCTAAGTTTACTCATCTGTCAAACGGGATGATAATATCTAGCTTTACTTACCTCTCAAAGGGCCAAGAGGCTTCAATCAAATAAGATATGGGATGCAAAAGAGCCTGGTGAAGTACAGTGACTGTATGAGGAGCTGTGATTATCAGGGAGAGGCAAGCAGGGAGGCCCGTAACCAAACCCCAACATATGCACGGCTGAGGCGGCCCAGACACAGGGCTGGAGGGCAGACCCTCCCCTCTGGAGCGCCCAGAGGCAGCTCTGTGTGAGTCACTCTTGGGTAGCTTTGCTGGGAGATGGGGGAGGGTGGGTGAGCAATACTGACACTGAGAGGCAGGGTTATCTTCCTTCTCTCTTCTCTCCCAGCCCCTGGTTTCTGCCTTGGGAGGGAGTGTGCTGCGGGGCTTGGGAAAGTTTCCTCGTCCCCTCCGTGTACCTCCACAAATTCAACATACTTCCTGTGAAGCAGCAGTGTAAGCACAAAAATGAATTATAAATAACATATACTATAATATATATATTATATAATAACATACCTAATACATAAACTATAAATTAAAATAAATCTCCTGACCTTGAACAGTTCACAGGCAGGTAGGCCAAGATCTTGACATGTAAACAGAATATCACGACACAGTGTGACAAGTGACAAAATAGAGACATGGACACTGGTGTGACACACGGTATGAGTCTCGAGAGGGCTCTGGTGTCAGAAAGCCCAGCCTGACTCCTGGCTCTGCTTCCTCCCAGTGATGCAGCCTTGGGAAAGTTATTTTCTCTCTCAGAGCCTCGAGTTCCTTAGCTGTCAAGTGAGTTGTCAGGATTCTGTGACTCTTCCATGGAAGTACTCAGTGTGGTGCTTTGAGTACTTCACTCAAGCTGAAATAAACTATTTGCGTCATTATTATGTATGAGAGACTCAAGAGAAAGCAGACAGGACACCACGTCTGCAGGGAAGAAGGGGAGTATTAGAGGTAGTTAGAGCAGATGCCACTTAAGCAAGGCCTTGAAGGTCAACACAGGGTCTGGTATGTAGCAGGAGCCAGATACATGCAGACTGAGCTGAGGAGTTGCTGTGTGTACAAGGAAGGGAAGCACTTACCAGGCAGAGGGACCTGCAGGTGCAGAGCACACAGGTGTGAGAGTACACACGGGGCTCTGGCGTCACCTGCAAACCCATGCTATGGCTCATTTCCACATATTCCTTTCAATTCAGCCCAGTATCCTGGGCCGGAAGAGGCTTAATACTATGTGATGGCAAACCAAGGTTGGACAGATGCTCCACTACACAGAGGAATCTGGTCTCCTCTGTGGGTGACTGTTATAAATATCTCATGCTGCAATGCTGAGTCAGAATGGGAGACCAGAAACCTGACTGACAATAACAGTAGTAAGGACAACATTTACCGAGAGCTTTCTAGGTGCCGAGCACTCTTCTAGGTGCTTTACATGATTTCACCCTCACAAAAACCTCCACGAAGCAGGTACTTTTAATAGCTCCATTTTATAGATGAGGAAACTGAGGCTCAGAGAGGTGAAGTAACTTGCTTATGGTCACACAGCTGGCACGTGGCAAAGCCAGGATTCCAACTGAGGCAGTCTGGTTCCAAAGCCCAAACTCTTGGCCACTAATCCCTAGACGACCTCTACCTTTCCTATCTGGAAATTTCTGTTGGAAAATTGTGCTCAGGGAGCCTGCGACCTTTCTGAGGAACAGAATCCTGAAGGCAAGAAAACAGTTAATCTTCATGGTTACAAAAATACTAAAAGTTGTTAGAATTCCCTACCAATTCAATTTGGATTGTTTAACCAGATGCTCTTAAGCAAATGCAATAGCTCCTGGAACACAAAGCATGATTAGAGAGTGGGGGGAAAAGCTGACACAAATAGCAAAAATAAATTTAGCTTCCAGTGACATTCTGGATGTTCAGTTATAAGGGCGGAAGCAAAAGCAGTGAGGGAAGACAGATGCCCAGCTCCCAGCCATTGGCTCAGCGCGAGCTCTGGGAGTACTGCTTCCAGGCCATGCCCCAGAAAGGATGCAGAACTTGTGGACCATTCTGTTACTCTGTCGCTCCAGCTGGGGACCCCAGGGTCCCCTCCCCCTACCACCACTTTCACTCACTCGCCTCGCCACAATTCCGCTTCCTAAGCATTTCTTGAACTGACCCCCACTCCAATCCTTTGGCCCCACTGCAGTCTTCATATCCACCTCACCAGCCTCCTTCCTGTTTTCCCTCCCACCCCTCACCTACCCCGCCAAGAGCTTGTTCTGAAGCCTAGACCTGACTGTATCACATACCTGCTCAAAAACCACTGGAGAATGGACTACTCAGCAGCCATTACACAGGAATCAAGGTTGCTGCTGGTGGGAGTGTAAACTGATTCAACCTCTGTGGTGGATAATTTGGTAAAATCTACCTAAATCAAACATGCACACAGCCTTTGAGCCAGCAAATCAGTTTTGACGAATTTATCGTAGAAATACACAGACAAATATGAAATAACAAATGTATAAGGAGACTAATGTCAGCAGGTGTAACAGCCAAAGACTGACAGCAGTCTAAATGACCAGTGGAGGACTCTAAGTCAAGGGTTCTCACACTTGAGCACACATTAGAATTGCCACGAGGGCTCGTGAAAACAGACTGCTGGGCCTACCTCGAGTTTTTGATTCAGAATGTGCATTTCTAACAAGTTCCCAGGTGATGCTGCTGCTGTTGCTGGTCCAAGGATTGCACTCTGAGAACCACTGCTCAAAACACACTGTGGGGTACAGGTGGGACACCATACAGCCGTTAAAGAAGACCACGACCATTCCCAATGTACTGACATATTTGATCTCCAACAGGTATTTGGCAAAAAAAGCAAGGTGCAAAAAAGTGTATACACACGCACACACACATATATACATACATATATATATAACAAATTATAACAGTTATATAGCAAAAATGGGGGAAAGCATATGCGTATTTATTTACAAAGGCACAGAATCTCTCAGATAGTTATCCAAGAAACAGGTAAAACGGGCTGCCTCTGGGGAGGGAAACTGGGCAGCTGGGGTGGGAGGGAGACTTTCCGTGTGCACCCCTCTGTACTTCTGGAATTCTATACCATGGGTATGCATTACCTACCCTCCCCTCCATAAACCAATGAGGTAGAGCTACATGTATTGACATAGGAAAATGACCAAGACATATTCTTAAAAAAAAAAAAAAATCAAGTTGCAGAGCAATACGTACTGTAAAATATCATTTTTGTAAAAATAAACTTATACATGCATATACACACAGGTACATACATAATATGTCTGCATACACACAGAAGAAGTTCTGGAAGGTTACACACCAAACAGCTAACTGGGTTACATCCAAGGAGTGGTACTGAGGAGGCTTTTCCTTTATATTTCTGCATTGCTGGAATCTTCTACAAGTGCAAGCGTGTAGTAATTTTGTTAACTATGAAGATTAACAGCTGCGTTGCCTTCAGGATTCTGTACCTTAGAAAGGCTGCAGGCTCCCTGAGCATCTTCTTGTTGCTGCATCCCAGCCCCTGTGCAGGGCTCACGTCACCCTACTCACTGCCTCCCTGAATACACCCTGTGGTCCCATGCCTCCCTCTCTTCCTGTGCTGCCTGCTGACCTCTCCCCCACACATGCAAAGACAGTTGCTGCCTCCTCCAGGAAGTATATCAGAATTCAGGTTAGTTGGCTGGTCACACATCCATTTCTCCTTGGTGACTGAGCTCTGTGAGGACAAGCCTCGGCCTTCTTTGTCGCTGCATCCCTGGTACCCAGCCCGGGGCCTGGCACAGAGCAGGCGCCCAGTCCAGCTGGCTGAGGGGCTCCTCTGAGTTACAGGCCATGGGCCTCCGAAGCAGTCTTCAGTACAGCTATTGCTCGGGCTGGGATCTGCTCCCTTCTGGGAATGCAGGTCTGACACGGATGGGCACTGCGCTACGATCGCTCCTCCCAACACGCTCCTGGATGCTCCACCTTCTCCCCAGGATTTCACAATGCGCCCTGCCTGTTATGGACGACTTGGCCCCAGGGAGAGAATTCTGTCCTCACATGCCCTCTCTCAGCTGGCTTTAGGGTCTAACATGGGTGGGAAATCAAAACTCCTGGGCCCCCACACTTTTCTCTCTCCTTGCCAAATGACCAGGGACGTACGACTCAGGGTAGAAAAAGGGAGTTGTCTGGCTTGTCCTTGTCCTTTCCCTAGGCCAAAAAGCCACTTGTATGGGTCTTTAGGGCACCTGTACCACGGAGAGAGCCCTGGACTAGGACACCTGGTTCTGCCCCTCACTGGCAGAAGGATCTTGAGAAGTCATTTCCTTGACCCTCAGTTTCTTTCCCTGTACAATGCGGATAAAAAACTGGCTCACGGGCCGGCCCCGTGGCTTAGCAGTTAAGTGCGCGTGCTCCGCTACTGGCGGCCCGGGGTTCGGATCCCAGGTGCGCACCGACGCACTGCTTCTCCGGCCATGCTGAGGCCATGTCCCACATACAGCAACCAGAAGGATGTGCCACTATGACATACAACTATCTACTGGGGCTTTGGGGAAAAAAAAAAGGAGGAGGATTGGCAATAGATGTTAGCTCAGAGCCGGTCTTCCTCAGCAAAAAGAGCAGGATTAGCATGGATGTTAGCTCAGCGCTGAGCTTCCTCACAAAAAAAAAAACCAAAAAAACTGGCTCAGCCTGCCACACTCAGTTGCTGTGAGAATCAAAGAGGGTGAAGGCTGTGTAAACTTTAGAATATCCTGGTTGTTCATGGTGGGGGCCTACTAAGGATCAGGCCGTTTACAATTTCACACACAGTCTACCAGCCCCCGGCCCTGCAGGAGACACTCGGGGGAGGTATTCAGCGGCTACAGTGGATCTACAGCTCTCTTCTATCCATGCCCTCTGCCCCAGCCACACCAGACCTTCCACCATCTCCTGAACTGCCTTGTGCCTCTGCCTACCTGGTCTCCTCTGCCTAGAAGGTCTTCTGGCTGAAATTCTGCTTCTACATCAAGGCTAAGCCCACCTCCAGCACAAAGCCGCCCTGCCCTGCCCAGGTGCGCGCAATCTTTCTCCTGAAACCCACGGCACCACCTGTATTACAATCACAGTTATTCCTCCCTCATCCAGATACCCCAACTCCTCGGTGACAGGACTCTGACCCACTCATCTCTGAAGCATCCCCCGACCCTAGACAACAGTGGAGGTTTAGGAAATTCTGTTGTCTGGAAGGTGTTTTCTGAAGAGATTAGTGATCCATGTGCAGAAGGTGCCAAGGAGAATTATTTAGTTTTGGGGGCCCCTCAGGTCAAGCTGCTCAGCTCACGCCATGGTGCCTTTTACCTCCTCTGTCCTGGTCTATTTCAGAACTTCTCTCTGCACCAAGAGTCTGCCTGAAAAGCACGGTAGGGAAGCTGAAGGCCTGAACTCTGCTTAGAAGAGGCAGAAGAGGAAGGCAAATGAGGTCACCTTAGCAATGCCTGACTACCCTCCTTTGCGTCTGACCACAGAGGGAGCCAGCAGTGAGTTCTCTGATCCTGGGGAAGGACGGTGGCAGGCCTCGGCCACTGCTCAAGTTGGGTAGTGTTTTGCGAACCCGGATTTGAGCAGTTTCAAAAGTGGCAGCTGCTTTGTGGCCTGCCCTCTTTGGGTAATACAGCTTCCGCTTAGGTTCAACTTCAGGTTTGGGAGGGGAAGGAGCAGGGAGCTGCAGATCAGGAGGTTGTGGAGGAGGGGAGAGGGTGCCAGGAAGTGAGAAGCCATTGGTACAATGGGCTACAGAGGCTTAATATAGGGAAGAAGAGTGGAGGGAGGAAGTCAGGAGGTGGAAGGTGCTGGGGTCCTCTTGGGTATCGAAAGGGGACAGATGTTGAGGAAGGCCAGGGATGGGGTCTGACCCAGTCTCAAAAGAGAGGCCAACAGCAGCTCAGTTACTCAGCAGGTAAGCCCAATTTGGTGGAGGAACTGTCTTAGGGGGCAGAGGGAGAAAAGCTACTTTGAGGTAGGATCAGGGTCTGGGTGGGTACAGAGTCAAGGGTTAGGAACAGGGTCTGGGCTCAGGCTAGGGCAGGTCCAAGGTTGGGTGGTGGTCAGTGAGAGGAAATCAGAAAAATAAGGGGCCTATACCTGGTTAAAAAGAGAGGCACCAAGGTGCTGGGTTCTGAGGGGCTGGCTGACTGGAATTGGTTCCAAAAAGTGATGCAAAAACCTGAGGCCTGAGCTGGGGCTCTATTCCTGGCTTAATTTTCTTGAGGTGGGGCAAGGGCCTCATCTCAGGGTTTAAGAGAGCACACGATGGGTCACAGATTCCAGCTGGACAGGCGTCAGAGTCTAGGGATGGGCCTGGATGCTAGAATTTGCCCTGGGGTGGGGTGAGGCAGGGCTCCTGACGGAGGAATGTCATGAGCTTGTACCATTCAGGAGTTGTCAGGCCCAGTACCCCATCAGGTCAGACTGGGGTTGACCCAGAGCCCAGAATGGGGCGACTGTCCCAGATGGGATGAGCAGCGAGAGCTGAAGGTGGGGCTAGTATGGCCGGGTCCAAGAGACTCAGAACAATTAGCCCGAACAGCAGTGTGAGGGGCAGCTGACAGTGTTCCCAGAAAGAAGCACAGAGGGAGGGATGTGTCACGGTCCGATAGGGGGTAGAAACCAGCCCCTATTTGAGGAAGGTGTCAGTATCCGGTTCGCGGGTCGGTGCCCAGATCCCGGGGCACCGAAGGCCAGGGTCGTGGGCCCAGGGTGGGGAAATGGTAGCGTTTAGTGTGGGAAGGGTCAGTGTCCGGGGAGAGGAGGTGTCTGTCCCGTCTCGGGCGGGCGTGTCAGCCGTGTCCCGGGTGGGAGGTGGAAAGCGCCCGGTTTTGCCGCTGACCCTACCTTGCCGCGGGCGCAGCGCACGGAGCGCAGGGCGCCGAAGAAGATGGGCAGCAGCGCCATGAGCAGGAGGCTGCCGTAGGCCAGCGCGATGCCCTCGGGCGTGGAAGGCGGCCGCGTCTTGCCGTTGGCTGGGCCGCCTGCCTCGGCGCTGCCGTTAAGCGGGTCGCTGAGGGCCGAGTCCATGGCGAGGCTGCGCTCGGGGGTCGGACTCCCGCTCTGGCTGCTGCACCAGAGACGCAGGAGGGGAGACGGACGCTTCAGGGAAAGCCACGTTCCCCTAAAGAAACAGGAAGTGACGTTCCTCCCTTGCCGGCGCGCGTCGCGCACGCGTGCGCGTTCACGTCTCCCCGCCCGCGCGCCCTCTAGCGGTAGCGGAGGGGCGGGCGGCCGGTTGCTAAGCAACTTGCTGGCGGTCGCGAAAGGAACACTGGGTCGCTGCGGTGGGCGTCCAACCCGAGGGAGACCAGAGGACCCCGTTCCTCAGTTCTAGTTGACCTCCTCAATCGCAGGCTGTCCCACTCCCCACAAATCCTCATCCTAATAACTAAGAATTTGTTTATTCATGCATTCATCCAATATTCAATTGTTCCTCACTATTCAATCGTTCCTCTACTCCTTAAATATTTGTTGAGTATCCCATTATATTCCAGGCACTGTATTAGGCTCTGGGGACACCGAGGTGAACAATACAGGCAAAAGTCCGTCCCTGCCCTCTTGGAGCTTGCATTTTTAGTATGGCAGGAGTTGGGGTGTTTGGAAGACAATAAAATGAACAAATAAAATATAAAGTCTATAGGATGGTAGTGTGTAGTTACGTGTTACATAGCATGTTAATGGAGATAAATAATTTAGAGAGACCTCCCTCCCTAGGAGCCTAGTGCACTTCTGCATACGACTTGGGCCAAAGTGATTCCAACCAGTTCCAGAGGATGAAGGTCAGGTGGCTGGCACTATAAATGGCCAGCACTATGGGGGTCCCAGTGTATGTGTATCCAGGGGTGAGGAGAGGGTGTCGGTAGCAGTGACCTGGATTTGGGTGAAGGCCCACGTTATCTGGGGCTTCTGGCTGTGCTACTGCTGCCCTAGTTAAGAGCTGGAGAAAGTATGTGGTAGATAAACTGGAGGAAATTGCACCCTGTAGGCACCTAGCACTGGAGAAACTTTGGGCCAAGCAGTGGAGAAACAAGCATGCTCTGTGGGAACTCAGGAATTAGCCAAGCTGGAACAAGGAAGGGAAGAGCCATTCTCCTCCAGTGCCCTTCTAGTACACTCTACTGAAAAGGCTTAACATATGTCAGCTGCAAAGGAGAAATATTTACAAGGTCCAGCTCCATTGTCACAACAAAAAGAGCAGATTTAGAGCTTAGAGGCAATAAGTTGATAAATGACACAAATGGTGTAATATCACATGGCCTGGTCCAAGCTTGGCAGGTGTGAGGTGGGGTTGGAGCATGCGATTTATGGTGAGGGGAGACAAAGGCAAGGAGTCAGACTATAAAAGTTTGAATAATAGAGTTGTTTGCCTAGTACACGCCAGGGATGGTACTAGCAACTTTGTGTGTTTTCTTTGATCCAAATAAAACTAGTAAGGGATGTTTTGTCCCATTTTACAGATGAGGAAACTGAGCCTCACAGCAGTAAACTAGCCAGCTCAGATCACACAGTCAGCGGTGGAAGAGGAGAGACTTGTACTCAGGTCTGTAGGACCCTAAAGTCCCTGCTCTTTCTAACATTCCAGCTAACAGAGGCTAAGGTGTTTGGACCAGAGTAACTTAGTCCTGGGCAGATGGTGTACAGTTTGAGGTTCTGTTTTTCAACAAGTTGGACAGGACCTGAGTGGATGGGTGAAGGCAGTGTGCCTGATGAATTCATCCATCAATAATTCAGGCCACAGGATTTGCCCAGCAACCAGGCCTCATGGCTCTGAGCCGCCTTATCTGAGAGCATATGATGGGAAATTGGAGACACTGCCTGCTTCCCACTAGGCTGACCAATTGATTTAGTTTGTCCTAGGGCAGATCTGGCCATCTCCCTTTACACTCCAGAGTGGGAGATTGTGAATATGACCCAGGGAATTGAGGGGTTAACCCAAGTTCAGAAAGCTCCTCTCAGGCTTCCAGAGGGTTGAATTTCTGGCTTGGGGCTGACCTGTCTTGATAGTCTCTGAGACAGGGAGACAGTCTGAGGGTGGGTGCCCCGAGGCTTTACCTGCTGAAGCCTCCCATATGGGGTTTCTTTCCCAGAGGAGATCTGAGCTGAGGTCAAGAATGGAGTCTCTTTAGATCCTGGGGTAGTTAAATGACCAAATATTTGTTCCAAAGAAAGATGCAGCCCTACTCCCCTTTTTCATTTATTACTGTCACTGTGAGTGGATTTCAGATTTTCCAGTTTTTTTCTCATATATGCTCACACACACACACTTGCACATACTGTTACATACTTAAATAATTTTGAAAATAATAAGCAAGGATCATCAATGGATGCTACAACTACTGGGAGAAAGATTGTTGAGGGACAGGATATTCACACAATCTTAAAGTGTTACCCCACCGATTACTTATTAATTATAAAAGGAAAAAGTTTCCATTACAGTGGAGTGACCTGGTAGACATTCCCTTAACCACATGACCAAACTTAGCATCACCAAATGGGATGCGACAAAATGACAGGATGTCATGCGATGCTGGGGACACATCACCTGTGTAATCTTTTTGCCAGACATGTTTAACCCACTTCTACACATGAGGAAACATCAGGAAAAATCAGAAAAATCCAGATTGTGGCATATTCTACAAGACAACCAGCCAGGACTCTTCAAAATGTCAATGCCATTAAAGAAAAAAAAAAAAATCCACACGGATTGTTGTAGATGAAAGGAGACTGAGGAGAAGTGAAATCCAAGTGTAATACGTCACCCTTAGTTGGATCCTGGATCACAACATTTTTTAAAAGGCTGTAAAGAAAATTTTCAGACAAATGTGGAAATCTGAATATGGATTGTTTGGGTGTGATAATTGTTTTGTGGTTCTGTAGGAGCTTGCTAGTCAAGGTGTGGTCCCCAGACTAGCACCATCAGCATCACCTGGGTAGCTGGAAGAAATGTAGAATCTCAGGCTCTACCCTAGACCTACTAGATCTCCAGGTGATCCACATGCCCATTGAGTTTGAGAAATGCTGGTGTAGGAGAACCTGCTTATCCATAGGAGGCAGATGCCCACCTCAGAAGTCCAAGTGATTCCGTGTTCTTGATCCTTGTGAGAGAATGGGCGAGAAAGCTGTAAAACTCTGTACAAATGTTTACTGTTCTTATTGCCTGCGGAGATCACAGAGCCTTGACATATATGTGCTCAATAAATATTTGTATATGAATAAATGAGTATATTGTTCCTTCCTCCTAACCTTCTTTTTCTTACCCCACATCCTGGTTAACCCTACTCATCCCTCAGAGCCCCAGCCAAATGCCATCTCCTCAGGGAACTCCTGTATTTACGGCAGGTGGAGCCAGCAGTAAGTGTCAGAGGGGTTTTACTAAGATAAAAGAAACAGAAAGAAACACTTTCTGTGCCTTCATACCTCCTTGCATTAAGGTTGGAATCCTCATTTGGGAAAATCTTTTCGGAGGCCAAAACCACTCATGTGGGTTGTGTTTTCCTCTCCACAACCCTAGAGAAATTCTTGTACAGGTCTATTAGGAGACATGTCCACGGACTTTCCTGCAGTGTTTTTTTTTTTTTTTTTTTTTTCGGTAGCGGGAAGTTAGAGCAAACCTAGGTGTGTGTCCCTGGGGAATGGATTGACAAAATGTGCTGGGTGTCTACTCTGGGGTACTACGCAGCAACAAGAAGCAACAACCCAAGCACGTGCTCAGCTGGGGTGATGTTGCATCCTGGTTTGGGCAGGACAGTCATGGTTTATGCCCTTTGTCCTGGCCTAATTATTAACAGAACCCCTTGCACTCTCAAAAGTGTACCAGTTTGGATGATAATGTGTGGTCACTATCACAGGTCAGGTTTCCTAGAAGCAGAGCCTGAGATGAGGATTCTTGTTTGAGTGATTTTGGGGGAGAGTATTCTTAGGAGGAAGGGAATGAAGGAAGGCAGGAGATAAAAGGCTAAGTGAGGATGGGTCTCAGCCAGAGACTCGCTTCACTGTGACCCCAAGGGGAGCTCTGGGGCACAAACTGCGCTGCAGAGTTGTTCCTGCCTTGAGGCTAGGCCTCTTGTACCCCTGTATCTGTCAGTCATTGGCCACAGTCTAGGAGTCAGGGGGTGAGGAGTAGTCTTCCTGGCTAGTTGGCTCCTGTTTGACCAACAGCAGTTCTCCCGAGAAGGTGGCAGCTGCGCGTGGCTTTCAGCCAATACTCACAACACCTGGGGGTCGAGCCACTATGTCTGGTAAAGGGGATCTGCAGGGGGCACCAGCTGCATCCCTTACACTCCCCCTAACTCTCATCAACATGTTTAGATCTTTAAAATGTAGAGCTGAGCATTAAGAAAGATGTGTGATATGATTTATGTAAATTAGAAGTACATATCATATAGCAACATCGCAAATCTAACAAGGATATTTACATGCTAAAGAATACATATCAAGCACATTAGAATGGTTCCCTATAGAGGGATGGGAATGAGAGTGAGAACTGGGGATTAGAACAAAAGAATATGTACATAAGTAAAATAAAAAAGGGGCTGTGTGGATTACGGTGATGATGGTCTACCGTGAAGGAATGGGTATGATGAACTGATCCCTCAGCTCTTGAGATTCAAAAAAGAAAATAAAAGGTCTTTGGAGACTTTAAGGAAGAGTTGTCATTTCAGAGTTCCCTTTGTTCTTTGCTGGGTTGGGGACAGAGGCTGGATTTGCAAAGGGAATGGCCAGTGCCCTTCTGACGGTGAGCCAGGGTTCTTTGGTTTGCAAGGGCTTGGAAGCATTTTAGGCAAAGGAGGGAAGGTATAAGGCTCTTGAACTCCAAGGCAGAGGTGAATAAGCCAAACCCTTGGACAGGACAGGCAGGGACAGAGCTGGGCCTCAGTTACACCTGGAAACTAGGGCGTCTATGTTGTCAGGATCCTCTCTGCATCTCCTCTCTGCTTTTCTCTGCGTACTGTCTTTATTCTCTTTCACAGCAAACCCGGTGTGCTACAAATGGCAGGCCCCATGAGCTGACTTAACATGTTATGATTTGCCTCAGGAACCTGAGTTTATGAAACTCCTTGGCTCAGTGTGGTCAGGGTGTCCAGCTCCACTGTCAAAAGGCCTCTGGGGTGGGTGAGGCTTCCATTGCAGGGTCTCAGTCTGGGGTCACTGAGGATTTCTGTAATC